TATTCTTTAGCCTCATCCCCACCCCCACACCGCAGAAGAAGGAGCATCCTGAGCAAGACTGCCCAGCATGGCTGAGGTCTGAGACTCCATCCCTGCTGTGTCTGTCTGTCCCTCTCTCTCTCTCTTTCACGCACACCACTCCCTGCCCACATTCTGTGGCCATCTTGCTAACATGGCAACATACTTCATCCCCTGGGGGATGCACACAGGCTTTGTCACACGCAAATCTTCACAGCACCGCACACACACGGACACTGACCAGGCTGCTAACACACTCCTTTGGGAAGGCTAGTTTCTGTCCCCATTGTATCTGGGGACACTACACCCTCTTTGCTTTTGCTCCCAGGACACTTTCATAGGCACCCCCAGGACCTACCCATGGGTGTGGCCTACTCCCACGGGGCCCTCACATACAGGCCTCCCCCTTTCCCCTTGACCCCCGCGCCACCCTTCTATCCTGCCCTCCCCAGCGGAGCCTCCTCCCCGATCCTGGCCTGTCCTCTTTCCAAGCCCCTGCCCACCCACCCGCTGGCCACCTGCTCTGCCAAGGGCGAGGGAGGAGTGGGCTGGCTCCTCTGCTTGCCAAGGCTGCTGGGCTGTGGCCGCTTGCTCATGTAGGACAAGAGAGCAGAAACATGCCTTTTCAAACAAAAGAGAGCAGAACGAGGAAGTTGGTGCCGCAGGCTGACTGTCCTCACTCTCAGTTTTCCTGCACTCTCCTCTGTCCCTGATCCAGCCCTGTGAGCCTTCCCTGTTATGTGTGGCTGCATAGGTTGGAAAAAGGATTTCCGAGGGTTTCCCATTCCTATTTCTTATTGCTGCCCCCATGTCACAGGAGGAAACAGGTGACGTGCCAAGTTCAACAGCACAAGTTACCTGGGGGTGAGTCACAACTGGACCACGGGGCTTTGTGAACACAGACCCCTGCCTTGGCCCTGGCACTCACCTGCCTCTGCAGTGAGAACAAGTGCAGGCGACCTGGATTCTCGTCACAGCCTCATCAGGAACCTCCTGTGCCCTCGAGGCCTCAGTTTCCAGATCTGTTCAATGGGGAGCATAAGTCAAATGTTACAAGGTTGCTGCCAGGGTCAAGGAGGAGCTTAGTAGTGAGCAGATTTTGAAGGGAAGACACTTCAGGGTGTTGGGAGGTTGGTGTCCTCCAGATCAGTAGCTCTGAACTGGTTTTGATAAATTCCTCCCTCTGAGCACCTGCGGAAAGTTACTCATCCTAGCCACAGAAAAGAATGCACAGACCCACATTCACAGGCACAGGCGGTCCTTCGAAGACAGCCTTGCAATCACCCCATCCAGGCCCCTGGTTAGGAACCTGGATTTCCACAAAAGCATGCATATGTTCCAAGGAAGAAGTTCAGCCAGGTGCCTTCTCATTCTGCATATGTGCCTCATAGTCGTCGGCCCTGAGGGGCAGAGCAGGTTCATGCGGCCTGTGGAACCCCATGTGTGCAGGCCCGTGTGACCGTCTTATCAGTGTGATATCTGGGTGGCGGGGGAGGGGGGAACATCTAGCCCAGATGCCTAGGAAACAGTGCCCTGGAGAGCAGGTAAATGAAAATTGATTCCCCAACCTGTGGTTCTGATTTGGTAGTTCTGGCCAGGACCTTAGAATGTGTATTTTAAAAAGATCTCCAGGGGATTCTGAAGCAGCCAGTATGTAACCATTGATATAAGTCCTTATCTAGAATGGAGTTTTGTTCTCTAGTGAAGAAATTACATCCCTCCCTCCAACCTTCACTTCCTCCCTTGATTCTTTTTTTTTTTTTTTTTTAAAGATTTATTTATTTATTTATACAAGCACTGGGTACAATCAGAAGCACGGGAGGATGAGAGAATTCCCCAGAGCCAGAGCAGGGAGCAGAGCAGGCAGAAGGACTGAAGTACACTGCTGAGGGGAGCAGTGGCAGCAGGAGAGGTCTGCGCACCATGTGGGACCCTCTCCCGGAGGCCGGGGATCGAACCAGCACTGCAGAGGCTGCGGACAGCTTCGCAACTCAGCGCTCAACCGCTGCACCACTGCACCACTGGGGAGGCCCCCTCCCTTGATTCTTCACCCCCATCTCCTCACCTCCTTCCCTTCACCCATTCTCTAGTCCCTCCATCCACCCCATATGAACGGAACTCAGCTCTGGACCAAGAGTGGGCTAGATGCTGGCAAGCAAGACCTGCTCTCGGAGCTGATAACCCCCCTTCTTCCCTGCACCTCCTCCCTGGAGTTCCCAGATCCTTCCCTAGAAGTTGCCACTTAAAATGTTTTTTGCCCTGGGCTTTTGGGATTCATTGCCTCCAGTTGCACAATCCTGCCTGGGCAGGCGAATGGGCACCTTGGAGAGACACCTTCCTCAGATACCTGTTCCTGTCCTAAGAGCCCTAACTGCAAATCCTTTCCCCTGTCTCATTTCAGTCCTTTCCACGGTCATTTAACCACTTCCTGTTCCTGTAATGAACATATATTGAGGCTCCATTGGTAGCACTGGGGGCTTAGAGAAAAAGTTAAATCTGGGCCCTCAACAATTTGCTCCAGTGGAAGAAGCCAACCCTGGGTGAGCAGGCATAGACCTGGGCTGGATGGGGAGGAGCTGGGTGCTCTGGGAGCACACATGAGGGCTCTAAAACACAGATCTGCTTGGGAAGGTGACCCAGTCTTTTTTTTTTTTTTTAAGATTTATTTATTTATTTATACGAGACTGGGGTACAGGTCAGAAGCATGAGAGAGTGAGAGAATTCACCAGAGACAGAGTGGGGAGCAGAACAGGCAGACGGACTGAAGACACTGCTGAGGGGAGCAGCGGGTGAAGCAGGAGAGGTCTGCTGTGCCGTGTGGGTTTCTCCCTGGCCAGCGGGGAATCGAACTGGTGCTGCAGAGCCTGCGGGCAGATTTGCAGCACTGTGCTCAACCACCGGAGGAGGCCCTAAGGTGACCCAGCCTTGCTGCCTTCCTGCAGGGGATGTAGAGGTGGGAGATTTCCTCCTCCCCACCCCCAGGGTCTGTTGCTGAGCAACAAATTTCGATTGCCCACGAATTCTGGCCTCTCCCCCTGCATGCTTGGGATGGGGATCAAAGTTTGGAGGAGAGGTGGTTGTGGCCTCATCAGGAACGTGGACACACTTTGGCAGGCCAGGAAGCGGCAGGCTTACATGGTGGGGAGAACGAAGAACCCATTAGCTGTGCGGCCTGAGCAATCAAAATCTTTGGCCCAGCTCTAGACCTAACAACCAGAACCTGCATTTTCACAAGCCCGCCCCCCACCCCCCCAAGGGATGAGCATGCACATTGAGCTTGGGGAAGCCTGCCCAGGAGGCTTGCTTCCCTTCTTGCCTCAGCCTGTGGTTGGGGCAGTGGTGTGCTGGCTCCCTGGGGGTATCCTCTGTGATTTGAAGCCCTTGGCCCACACAGCCTTTGCGTCAGGGGCACAACATGGTGTGGACAAGCCAGATCCAGCCTCCAACTAGTTTTGTTTGACTTGACACTGTATTTAAATTTTTTTAATAAGTTGCCAGTATTTAAAAATTGGAAAATTTCATGTAAATATCCAGATTTCTGGCTTTTCTTAAAAAATTGCACAATCTGGAAATGGACCACCTTCCATGTGGCACCTGTCAGTATCTCCTGCAAGCAGTGAAGCTCACCACCCTTGCTCCAAGTTCTTTTCCAACCACTCATATTGTGAGTTTAAAATCCCAGGAGCTTCTTAAAACGTGTGAAAAAATGCTCGGCCTCTCTCTTAAAACGAGAATTGTAAATCAAATCTGCACCCAGCCTCTCCACGTTCCACCTGTCCCCTAGCAAAGATAAGAAAGTTTAATAACACATTGTGTTGATAAGAGTGGAAGAATGGGGGCCTCTCCTGGTGGCGCAGTGGTTGAGTGCTGGGCTGCGAAGCTGCCCACAGCCTCCGCAGCGCCCGTTCGATACCCGGCCGCCGGCGAGGGTCCCACATGGTGGGCAGACCTCTCCTGCCGCGCCCGCTGCTCCCCTCAGCAGTATGCTTCGTCAGTCTGCCTGTTCTGTTCCCTGCTCTGGCTCTGGTGAATTCTCTCACCCTCCCATGCTGCTGACTGTACCCATTGCTTGTATAAATAAATAAATAAATCATTTAAAAAAAATAAGAGTGGAAGAATGTTGTCCACTCTCACACGTGGAAGTGGAAGGTGGTGCCACCTCTAAAATGAATAATCTCCTGTTGTCTAACAGAATTGCCAAGCAATGCCTACTCTTTGACCAAATGACACCAGTTCTAGAAGCTTATCCACAGACACTTACACACCTGGGAGACATAATTCTAATGCACATGTGTAAGTTAATCATCGCAGCCCTGCTAGCACTAGTTACAGATTGAAACTAAACTAACTTTTTAGGTAAATTATGCAAATAATTTTTGTATATGTGACATGCAAATATTATCTAATGAGGAGATCCTTATGTTGTAGCATGGAAGGAGATCTCCAGAATATTGACTGTAAAGGGAGGATAGGAGTGGGGACCACCTGGTGGGGGGATTCTTTGGGTAGGGAGATGCAGGTGTGGGGCTTTGTGGGAGCATGTTTGAGGGGAGATGCTCTAGGATCTGGTAGCACTGTGTCTGAAGAGGGGGCCTCAGAGACAGAGAGTCAGGGGTACAGAGGTGGGAGGGAGTCTTCTCTACCTACATTTTTATATCTTTTGAACTTTGAAATGTGTCCATGTGTCACCTAGCCAAATAAGAAAGAACTGAAAACTTTCAGGGTTCTGGGATTTTAGCACAACATGATTTTATTGTTTTGTAACTGGTGAACCTAAATTATTACTAATTATGACAATGCTGGAAGTCCATCTCTCATGAAGCCCAGTGCATGAAGTTCACCTCCATGCTTCACCCCCATGAACTCCAGCAGCCCAGATGGAGAGGACCCTCCCTGACACAGCAGCTGCATGGGCTCCGAATTCTCCTGGCCATACAGACCTTGGGGTCTCTCTCACCCTCATGCCTTCTCTGTCCTCCCAGGGGAGCCTTCTCAGTGGTACGCAGGTGTGTGAAGGTGCTGGCCGGCCAGGAGTACGCTGCCAAGATCATCAACACCAAGAAGCTCTCAGCCAGAGGTATGCAGGGGATCCAGGCCTGGTGTACCCTGGGGGCTTCTTCCCTTTACCTCCCACCACCCTTTGGGTTAGAACCAGGACCTGCTTTTCTCCCTGGGTGATGCTGCTGGAAAGGTGGGGGTTCTTCTTCTGCAGGTAGTGTGGAAACAGACCCCACCATTTTCCTTCCTTTATGAATCCAGCCTGGAGGCCACAGCCACTCCCATGGGCAGTCACTCTTCTCCCCACACAACTGGAACCTAAAAATTGCCAGTGGCCCTTCCTGTCCCTGCTCTTTTGCCATGACCCTTTGCCTCTGAATGCCCTCGCCTGGATCTTCACAAGCTTGGCTCTTTCTCCACCTCCAATTCCCCGGCCAATGCCACACCCCAAGTCTAAGGAGGTCATCCTCACTTTGCATCTCTCATAACTGTTTGCTTCCTTTGTGACTTTTCCTCAGTTGGGCTTAACCCATTTTCTGGTTCGGTTCCTTATTTGACATCTGATAAGTGTAAGCTTCAAGAGGGTGCAGAAAGATCTCATTTGTGACCCAGCACCTAGGACAGCGCCCGGAACCTCCAAGGAGCCAGCTGTGTCCTGGAGACTCCTGGCACATGGCATCGTCACAGGCGACTCTTTGGCCCCTAATGTCTCCCCAAGACAGTGGTTCCCAAACCAGTCCCCATACCGAGTTCCGTGGAGAGCTTCAAAATCCCTTGGTGCCTGGGCTCCTGCCCCAGGGGTTGTGGTTAGTTGGGACTGTGACCTGGGTTCTGGAAAGGATTCTCAAGTCTTGGAAGTGTTCCGAGACCTATAGAGAGCTCAGAAGAGCTCACCAGATTATTAGAAATGCAAATTCTTGAGCCATACTCTAGGCTTAAGGAATCAGAATCTGTGTTTTCACAAGATACACAGGTGATTGGTAGAGACATTAAAACTTAGGAAGTCTTTGCAGGAGACTTGCTTCTTGCCCTTCACATGTGGTTAGGGTGATCTTGGGGGTGACCTGAGGCAGCCTGCAAGGATGGGCCATCATCAAACATCTATTCCCCACTCTGAACGCTGCTGCCTTGGGGATCACCTGGTGGGGTGCTTCTGTTGGGTGCGGTGAAGCAGGTGTAGGCGATGCAGCCCTTGGCTTGCGTGGTGGGAGATGCAGTGTGGGGGCTTTCTTGTCCAGGTGTCTGCTTGGCACAGGCCTCAGATGAGGCTGGGCTGGGGCCCAGCAGGTGTGGTGTTCATACAACTGCTACACGGTGTTCACGCAGTGCCCCACAGGCCTCCCAGCAGGATCCATGTTGGACGTATGTTGCTGCCTTTCATCTCTGGCTCTGTTGCCAGGAGCCTAGCATTTTCTCCTAGTTACCCAACTCCCCCATATGCAGCCTAGCATCATGCTAGGAGTAGAGGCTCGGCAGAAGGGGAGAGAGCAGGGCTTCTGAGTGGCACACAGTCTGAACAAAAGCTGATGTGGAAGGCCCAGAGCCAGGGCCAGGCAGCCACGGATACCGGGGCAGGTGTGGAAGGAGGAGGATGAGGGATCTCTCCTCCAGATGCCACTCTGCTGGGACCAGTGGTCGTGTGGAGCCCTCTCTGAGCTTTGTGTCTTCAGGGACTAGGGGTGAGGTCCCAATCTCTGAGATTCAGTGGGGACAGGACTAGAGCCACAACTTGGGATGATGGGTTGAGGTTGTCCCAGGTTGAAGGACCTGAGGAGGGGTTCATGGAGCAGTTCACCACAGAAGGGACATTGCCTTTTTTTCTGGGAGGTGACTCAGCACTCCTGGGACAGCATAGAGTCAAGGAGTGACCCTCCTAGCCCCTCTCTGGAGACCTGTGGAGCTTTTGGCCTCCTGGGAGGCAGGTGGCTCAGGCTCAGGTGCGCTTAGAAGGTGGGGATGGGAGCCTCTCAGGGGAAACTTCCCGAAAATTTTCTCCCCAGTGGGAAGGGAGGAGCAGCACTTCTTTAGTAGGTTTCTTTGTTTGTCACCCTGGGTGCCCCGGGGAGGGGAGAGGTTTGATGATGGACATTGGGCAACACACTCTAAGCTTTTCCCTGGCACTCGAGGGTGACTTCAGCAGTTCAAGGCAGGAGCCCTGGGGCGTCTGTCTGTCCCTCCCAGGAGCCACATTTCCCCTGCCCCACGCACCTGGCCTCTTTAGTGAGTGGTTCCCAAATGCAGGAGAGATTTTTTAATTTGTATTTTTAAACTTGTCTTTAAAATAAAAACTTCATAACATAAACAATTCAAAGAAACCAGAAAGATGAATTGAGAAGTAAAAATTGTGCCGCTCCCAATCCCAGCCAAATCTCCTTGGTTGTCTTTCAAAAACACAGCTACCAAGTTCCTAGGCAGGACTCGGGCACACACACAGAGAGGACTCAGGGACACCGTGGGGTATTGGCGGGGTGCAGCCCAAAGTGACTGGCATGGAGGAAGCATCCTCGCAGACTGTCCTGCTCACCTCAAGGGCTGAGGGTCACTTCCAAGGCTCCCTGGAGAGCATTCAGGGGACACCAGGTGGAAAGGACGGTGTGACCTTAGTTAGTCTGCCCTTGAGTGTCAAGTCCATATGAGAGACCAAAGGTCTCTCTTTGGTGAAAAGGTCCCAGGTCAACTTCATTTCCCCCTTCTTCCCCATCTTTCTCTCAATCTCTGCCAGTCACTCTGGGTCCTTTCTCCAGCACCCTAGCCCCGGGAACCCCTGTTGAGCCCTATGGAAGGCGAGGCCATTTCCTGTCCCCTGGCTCCTGGGCCTCCAATCAGAACCCACTCTCCCCAGCTTGTTGCAGTCACTTCCCTCCGCTGGCAGAGCCCCACAGGCCACCCCAATGCTCACCATACTGCCCTTCTCCACTTTGCCTCATTCTGCGCTACCCCCCCACTCCCAGCACTGTTTGCTTCCAGGAGATTTACCCCTGAGTTTCCACCCACCTCTGCCTGCTGAACTCTGGGCAAGGATGACCTCCTTACCCCCAGCGCCCTGGAGGGTGGAGGTGTCCCTGCTCCCAGGGAGGGCAGAACAAGGCTTAAAGGTGTCATCATGCACATTGGGGGCAACCCTTCCACGGCCCAGGTAGGAGGCTGGATGGATTGATTTCTCATTTAATTATTAGAATTGGAGGTGTTATAATGTGGTAATTATGAACATGGATTGAAATCCTAGCTCTGCTGCTTCTTAGCAAAAGGACCTTTGACAAGCTGCTTTGTGACTCTGCCAAGCCTGGGAACATGGCAGCCACTGACAGACAGGGTCTTGCACCACTGCAGCTGTTGTCTAAGGTTTAGGAGACTGAAAAGAACTTTAAGTACCAATAAACTGAGTAGATTCAGAAAGCAAGAGGGTGATGGGGAAGGGATAGAGCAGGAGTGACACTCAGAAAAGTCAGGTGGGGAAGCTTTCTGAGGTGGTGACTTTTTGTTGAACCTCCCTGAGAAGGCAGCAGCTACTGGAAAACCCAGGAGGAGAAATGTTCAGGCCACAGGCATGGCAGATGCAAAGGTCCTGAGGTGGGAGGGGGCTTGTGTGCCTGAGGCCAGAAAGGAGTCCAATGTGGCTGAGTGTCAGGATATAACAGGGTCTTGTTGACTGTGGTGAGGTGTTTGGATGGAATTACACATACAGTTGGCCTTCCATATCCATGGCTCTGCTTCTGTGTGTGCAACCAACTGCAGATTGAAAATTCACAGTGCTGCATAGCTGCCCTGCCAGCATTTGGGCTTGACTGAACATGGACAGATTTTTAAAATTGCCATTATTCCCTAAACCATGTAGTGTAACAACTATTTATTTAACATTTATATTGTATTAAGTGTCGTAATATAGAGATGGTTTAGACTATAAGTGAGGTTGTAGGTCAGTTATATGAAAATATTGCCCCATTTTATATAAGGAACTGGAGTACCTGTGGGTTTTGGTATTCGTGGGTGGTCCTGAAACAATCCCCTATGGAACCTGAGGACTGAGTATACACTGGGAAGCTGTGGGAGCATCTAAAGCCAGAAATAACAGAATCTAATTTGCATTTTTTAAAGAAAGATTTCTGTGGCTGCCAGAACCTATTGGGGAGTGCCCAGGAATGGGTCCTCAGGGCTCTGAGTTCTTGTAAACTCTGATTCTGATAAAGGAAGTGCTCCTTTATCACGGGGGTCTTCGTTTCCCCCTCTTCACAGCAGAGCACGACCCCAGATGTTCCTCCATTTCTTGAGGTTTCCTGCATATTACAAAATGAAGCTTTTCAGACTTAACAAAAATTATTGTATATTGTGTATGTTTGCATGCAACAAATTCATGCTTTTAGCAGCAGCACAATCATCTTGTACTGTGCATAAAGTGATTGTAAGATGTATAAAAATAATAAGTCCTGGCATTTCCAGCAGTGAAACCTGGAGTCAGGTCCAAGTTTGAAGTTGTAAGACCCACATTTTCTTCTCTCAGTCCTCTCAGTGTGACTCTGTCCTGGATTGCTGTAAATGGAGAAGACATCAGAATTCTGGATTTGGGCCTCCGCCCCTGGAAGTCTGGGCCAGAGGGTCCCGGTCCCCTCTGATAGTCCCAGATTTCATCAGCCTGCTCTCTGGTTCTGCTGGGGAGGAGACAGGGTGCAAATCCAGGGGAGGATCCAGTCTCCATCAGCCCATTTGAAGGGGATCCTCCTCCTCCTCCTCCACCCAGGAGTTTGCCTCCACACCCTGAAGAATGTAGAAGAAGACAGGCAGAGAGGGGAAGCCAGGGGATTGACCCCCCGCCCTGGACTTGCTGCCCCTCCCTTAGTCTGCAGCCCCTCTTCAGTTGGACAGTGGGGCTTACACTCTATAGAAACAGGATTGGACTTAATTGCTTTGCTGATGGAAAAGCCACATGTCAGCACTGATATTGGCTTCTGCAGCCCTTGGAGGATGACCAGCAATTGCTCCAAGGGAGGGGGTTGGAGGAGGGGAGCAGGCTGCCTGGGATGGGTGCTGAATCTTTCTCCATCGTCATCACCCTCCCTGGTCCTGCCTGCTCTGGAAGGGCCATTTGGAGACCAGGGTCCTAGTTCTGGCTGGGTCCTTGAGTGTCCATGTGACTGCCTGTCTGTATGTCCTGGTCTTCCTGTTCAGGAGTTGTGGCAGGTGGAGGTGATGTCAGGCCGTGGGGAGCAGTGTAGTCCAGGCTTCACAATCCACCCCTGGAGTCTGACTGTCTGGGTGCAAAGTGTGGCTGCGCTGCTCCCCACAGGGGTGACTTGGGGCAAGGTTCTTAACCTCTCTGAACCCCTCTCTTAACCTCTCTTTCCCTATAAAACCAGAATAGTGATAGCACCTCCTTCAAAGGGTTGCTGTAAGGATTTGAAATTCTTAGAAAGTTCCCTGCTCAGTGCCTGGCACATGGTTGACTTTTGACATTTGTTAATGGTTCTTTTTGAACTATTGGTTTTTTTTTAAATTTTTTTGGTAAGATTTATTTATTTATGCAAGAACCGGGGTATAGGCCAGATGCGCGGGAGGGTGAGAGGATTCACCAGAGTGTGGAACAGAACAGGCAGACTGATGAAATGCACTGCTGAGGGGAGCAGCAGGCAAGGCAGGAGAGGTCTGCCGCACCACGTGGGACCCTCGCTGGCTGGCCAGGATCGAACCCGCGCTGCAGAGGCTGCTGACAGCTTCACAATGCTGCTCTCAACCGCCTGCACCACCAGGGGAGGCCCTGAACTATTTGGTTTTCAAAATTAAAGCATTAGCTACCCAATTGTGAGAAAAGCACCAAAAAGGGAATTGGAACATGCAATGTCAACTCTAACTCTGCCTCCTTTGAGGTCTCAACTTGCCCATCTATTAAATGGGGGCAGCAACCTACAGCCTAGAGTTGCTGGGAGGACCGAATGTTGTCAGGGGTGACTGTGTTCCTGGCAGCTCGAGACAGGTAGTAGATCCTGAAGGAGACCTCTCTCCCAAGTGGGAGACCCAGACACTGGAAAAAAGTTTTGGAAAGGAGGTGTGAGAACTCCTGGTAAGCCCTGAGGCTGCCAAGTGTTAGTTCTACCCTTTTGAGGCTGTGTCCCACCCCAAGGAGGTGGCTTCTGTGAATTAATGCCGTTCTCTTCTCCTGCAGAGAATACCTCCCAAAGAAATGTTTGTTCATCCAATTGTCATTCTTTCATGCTGTTATTTCTTGAGAACTTAGTCTGTGCCAGGCATTTGGAGAGTGCCAGCAATGCAGCAGAGATCAAGACCTCATTATCCTGGAGGACAGAGATCTCCAGGAGATGGAGTAGGCCCGAGGCCTCTCCAAGCAGCCTGGAAGGGCAGCAGCTCAAGATGGGTGGGAGTGAGTGATGGGTGGGGCCCGATAACCAGTGGCTGTGAAGTTGAGAGGGAGTATTTCGGCCAAGATACTGGCATATGCCCTAAGCAAAGGGTTGAGCGGGGGATGCCAGGAGAAGTGAGATGGGCATTCAGTCTGCCTGCAGTGTAGTGTAAGGTCAGGGCTGGAGAAGGGGTGGCCGGACTCTGACCCGGGTGGCCGGAGTCTGACCCCGGCTGCTTGGAGCATGGTCCTTATACATGAAGGGGCTCAGAGATGCCCCTCATTTGAGAATCCTGAAAATCAATGCTCAGAGAAAGCAAGAAACTTCTGAGTCATCACAATCTAGGCCTCTCCTACTTCCCTGTTCCCCTCTGCTTTCCCGAGGAACCCAGAGGCCCCTGCTGCAAGTTGAGATTTTCCAGAGCCCAAGAGCTGCCGAGAGGTGGTCCTGAAAGGCTGTGCAGAGGCATAGATTGGGGGGGTTGGAGGGTAGTGATGGGGTGGGGGGAGTTCCTCTGTCATCTGGGACTCACCTGGGTGTCTGTGTTTCAGATCACCAGAAGCTGGAACGTGAAGCCCGCATCTGCCGCCTGCTGAAGCACCCCAATATTGGTGAGCCTGGGGGCGATGATTGGGAGTGCAGGGTGGAGCTAGACTGCCCCTCCTCAACATGGTGGGTGTTTGCGGGGGGTGGGGGGAGCTGCTCTCTTCTCTGGTGATGGCAGCAATAGAAGTGGGAAAGGGGGTGTCTTTAATGGTTTCCACATTCTTCAGAGACCAGCTTGGTTGGGGGGAAGGTGAAGAAGGGGCCCTTCCTCCCTGCCCACGCTGCCAACAGCCTCCTTCAGAAAAGCTGTTTCAGGAAAAGTCCCGAAGCTCTGAGAGAGATGAAAATAGGACAAGCTTGGCCTTGACTGGCGCAGCCCACTCCCCAAGCCCACCCCCATGCTGAGTCAGCCTGGCACTGTGGCCCCGCCCACCTGCCTGGACCTGTGGCCCACCTGCTCGTCCAAAGCAAGCTCTGAGGTGGCCCTGCCCCAGGGGCAAAGGAGACACAAACAGCCTTTGAAGGCTGGGGCCAGAGCAGGCTGGGACAGGCCCTGAAATAGCATTCTGGGCCTGACCCTCTCCGTGCCCCCGCACAACTGGGGGCCGTGTCCCTGCCATCAGAGTCTGATGTCATGGGGGGAGTGAGGTTCTAGTGTTCTGTCAGAGAATGGCTGTGTGACTTTGGGCAGTTGCACTTGAGCCGCACTCCCCCATCTTCACAAGGAGAGGGCTGTCTGGATCCCCTGCACATCTTGTCATAGAGGCCAACTCAGTGGTTCTGGGTGGGGCTGAGAGTTTGCTTGCCTTTCTAACTTGTTCTGAGGCCACACCCAGGCTGCTGGCTCACGGACCACACTTAGGGAGCAAGGTCTAGGTGCTCCCTAAGGAATATTCCAAGTCTGACAGTCATCCCGCCTTCTCCCCTGGGAAGGCTGCATCTTTTTGTGCCCAGAGCCCGGAGGGTTAACTCTTTTGCTGGAGAGAAGCTTCTTCATCTGCTATTTATACCCAGAAATCACCTCCCCTTCCCTGTGCCTGGGAAGAGAAGCAGAGCAGTACAAACAGCAGTGGAGGCTCCAGGACCAGAATCAGAGAAGGGTAGTCAGGCAGTGGGGCTGAGGGACCCTGGTCGGACCTCCGCTGTGTGGCCTTGGGCAGTTCCTTCCTCTTCTGGGCCTCCAACTTCACAATGGCATATAGAGGGGGTTGTGAGTGATTTGTGACTATAAAATCCCATGGGTCTTATAGAGGATGTTGACTGGGAGGAAGGAGACACGGCTGTGTGTGCGCGTGTGTGGCGTGTGTGTGCATGTGTGCGCGTGCGCACACGCTGCACAGTTGAAGCTGTCTCAGGTCAACTCTGCCTCCTCCCCTTTCCACCTCCTTCTCCCTCTCATTCCCAGCTAAAATGGGCTCTGGGGCTCATAGGCCACAGCTCAAACCCTGGGTTTGCTGTTTATTGCTGTGTGAGCCTGGGCATGTTGCTTAGCCACTCTGAAAAGCAATGTTCTCATTGGGGAATTGGAAATGATACCTACCTCATATGATTGTGATGATTAAATAAAGTGGCAGTCTTAAAAGAAATACTTTATTGCCATTAAACTTTCCCTTTACTCCAAATCTACACCTTCCTGCAGAACATCTTACCTGAAGATTTATCCTCTTGCTCGAAATGATGATTAACATTCCTCTGAACCATCTAGATTTTGGGTCATTAGTTTTTAGCACTGTATATAATAGCGTGGTTAAGAAAATGGACTTTACAGTCAGGATCTTCTGGGTTCAAATCCCTGCTCTGCCGTTTACTAGATGTTTAAGTATGATTACCTCTCTGAAATGGGAATTATCATGCTCCCATGAACTGTTGGGAGGGCTAAAAGAGATATAGCAAGTAAAACACACAGCACTAACCTGACACACGATAAAATCTCAAACATCTTCATCATCTTCATCATCATCTCCATTATGTTCATCATCATCTTCATCATCTCCATCATCTCCATCATCACTGCGTCATTTTCTCCTTCATTTATTCACCTCATGTTAGGGGCAACTGAAGCCCCACCACATGCCGTGTGTTCAATGTGTATGTACAAAATTAGGATGGGGGTGGGGCAGAGTTCACAGCCAGATCAGGGAAACCCTCAGAAGAAGCTGGAGCTGTGCCAGCTCTGGAAGGGCCCTTTGGGGGGGGCACCTCATGATCCCCCAAGCATCTCACTTCAACGTAGGCTGTAATTAGCCCAAAGAAGTGCAGCAGCACAGAGAGAAGTACAGCATATGAGCAGAGGTGAGTCTGTGCCTGGAGGATCTAAACTGAGACCTCTTCAGGCCACCACCTGCCAATGCAGCCAAGGTGGTGGTTTGCTGCCTACCTGTGACTGCCCGCCTCACCCCAGGGGACTAAGTTGGGGGGGGGGCGTTCCAGGCTCAGCACAGGTGGGGTCAATGGTGCTTACTAAGTGCTTCCTTCCTAGATCCTGCCTGGGAGAGGACAGCACTCTCCTGCTGCACCACTGTCACCTGCTGATGGGGCAGGCCCCCAAGGCCACATAATAACCTGAGCCTTTAGTGGATGATTTGGGACAGGCATGAAAAGGGAGATTGGTGAATGATAAAGATGACAATATCTTCATTTGTTAAGTTCTTCCTGGTGTCAGGCACTGCATCAAGTGCCTAATGAATAGCAATGACATGAATCCCACAGCAATCTAGTGGGACCAGCATGGCTGCTGCCAGCAAAGGCTCAGAGAGGTTACATAATTCACCTGGTGTTACACAGTGGGGAAGCGGTGGAGGCAGGAGGCACATAATGCATGGGCTCCAGAGCCCGTGTTCTCAGTCAGTCTCTGTTGCTCCAAGTGGACATCAGACGTGTGCTGTCTCGGGGGTACATGAATAGGGGAACAAACACCAATTTTCAACTTACAAGAAAAAAACAATAACTGTTGGAAATATGACAGGATTGTCAGAAGTTACTGAATCCAGTTACATAAATGAAAACCAGGTTACAGATTAGTTTATTATATGACAATATATTAAAAAGGCAAAGAGTGGCCGTGTAACTCACCGGCACAGATGCTCCAGTCTTTCCACCAGGAGGCAGGGCCAGCACACAGCCCATGGCCTGGTAAGCCTCCTTTCCTCCAGGCCTCCAGGCTGAGCTTTTCCTCAGGGCAGCTCCACTGAAGGGAGGGGCGGCTTAGTGTGTAGAGAGCACAGAAAGAAGTCCTGTCTCCTGGTTCATGATCAGTCATCTTTTGGGGGTGGACACTGACTCCAGGCGGGTCCTGAAATCCAGCCCCTGTCTCCTCGCCAGGCTGCTCAATGGGACAGCCTCTTGTAAGCAGCTCACAGCAACATCTGAGCTAGAGTTGGACTTGAAGAACTCCCACGCCAATTCTGTCCATTTCCCTATACCTTGAGTCCCTCTTTATTTATTTTTTATTTTTTTAAATATTTATTTATTTATTTATACAAGAACCCGGGTACAGGCCAGATGTGCAGGACGGTGAGAGGATTCACCAGAGACAGAGTGGGGAGCAGAACAGGCAGACTGACTGCAATACACTGCTGAGGGGAGCAGCGGTGAGACGGGAAAGGTCTGTCGCGCCATGTGGGTTGCTCTGCGCCTGGTGGGGATCAAACTGGCACTGCCGAGGAGGCTGCGGACAGCTTCATAGCGCTGTGCTCAATTGCCTGCGCCACCAGAGAGGCCCACCTGAGTCCCTCTTTAAAGCAGCAGAGTCTCCTGGTCAGAGGGTGAATCTGGACCTCAATGTTTTTGGAACTCCTCCCAAAATGCTGTTGACCTACTTCTAAATGCCCTTCCTGAGATGATTCTGACTATAGCCTGGCTTCTTAGAGCTTCTCACACCTGAGAAAGGGAAGTGAAAATCTCACATGCCTGCCTGGAGAGGGCAGATGGAAAGGAATCCTCTCCCCAGGAGTCTACTTGGAGAAAGGTAGGGAGAGGAAAGTTCTTAGAGCACTAATAATGCAAGATTATTATAAATAAAGGAGAAGACAAATAATTTTTTAAAGATTTATTTATTTATGCATACAAGAGCTGGGGTGCAGGACAGAGGTGCAAGGGGTGAGGGGATTCACCAGAAACAGAGGGGGGAACAGAACAGGCAGACTGACTGAAATACATTGCTGAGGGGAGCAGCGGGTGAGACAGGAGAGGTCTGCTGGGTCATGTGGGAAGCTCTCTGGCCGGGGATCAAATTCGTGCTGCAGTAGCTACGGATTGCTTCATAGTGCTGACGCTTATCCCCTTGAGCTACCAGGGGGGCCCAAGGCAAGTAATTTTAAAGGTATCTCTTGCAACAGTGTCTGGAGCTAACATAGTATGATATCAGCTTCTGCACATATGATGTCTTTGCTCAGAATTTCTAGAAGCAGAGCCTGAGGTAGGGATTCAGTGCTGCTCATGATTACTGAGGGTGTGCTCTCAGCAGAGACAGTAGGGACAGGGTGATGCAATGTGGAGAAGGAGCAAGAGCCAGGGTTGTATGTGTGTATGTGTTTGTGTGTGTCTGCACATCAAGTCTAACTTTGACCTAATCCCAGAATGGGAGGTGCAGTGGGGAGGCCTTTACTGCATAAATCCTGCCTCAGGGTTGTCCTTCCTTAAGGCAAAGAAACTTGCCCCTCACAACAACCCTGACCTCCTATGTTACGCAGGCATGGCTGACGGCTTCAAGTCACCTTGTGGGCAAGGCAGATCCACCAGTGACAGTTCCCCAGAGAAGGGGCCACTATGAGCCACTGTAAGCAGCCACAGCTGCGGGTGGCTGCAGGAACTTGCTAAGGGGGTCTGGGCAAGGCAGCAATATAGGGTGGGCAGATTCTGCACACAGAAAATACAGGACACCCCTGAGATGTTTAAAATTAAACTGGCATTTGCTTTGAAATGCATTAAAAATTAAAACAGACTAATGGATGGAGGAAAGATTAGAAATGCTGTGAAGCAAGAGTTAAAAACAAGACTGTTAGAAGGAAATGGGTACATGGGTGTTCACTTGACAGTGTGTTTGAAATTTTTTTTAAGATTCATTTTATCTACTTATGTGTACAAGACCTGGGTGTAGGCCAGAGGTGTGGGGGTAAAAGGGTTACAGAGTGGGGAACAGAACAGGCAGATCTACTAAAATACACCGCTGAGGGGAGCAGCAGGTAAGACAGGAGAGGTCTGCCACGCCATGTGGGTCAGCTCCCTGGCAGGGAATTGAACTCATGTTGCAGTGGCTTAGGGATGGCCTTGATAGTGCTGAGACTTAACCCCTGCACCACCAGGGAGGCCCCGATGTGAAATTTTTTTATAAAAAGATGACAACCTTTTTATAAAAATTTGACAAAAATGAAAGTAGGATTGATTATACTATATGTACTCTTAGGAAACTAGTTTTGCTTTAAGATTTAATGTAGCATTTTCTCATTTATATAGACCATTCCTGGAGAATTAAAAAAATGAATGTAATCTGTGTCCTCTTCTTCCTCTGTCTCTGATTCCCATCTCCTCTCCCCAGAGGCACCCACTTTGGGGTATTTGATGCCTGCTTCTCCAAACTTCATGTGCAGAAGTGAGAGCATCAAGCAATTTGGGGAGCTCAATATTGAGTCAAAAATACCTCCCCATGACCATCATTCAGATGACACTAGGGCTTACAATGAAAAGGGAAGGAAGTCTCCTCCACAACCTCTACTCCCCCTTCCCAAGGGCACCCCAAGCGACATCTCTGTATCCTTCCAGACAGACTTTGCCATATACAAGTTTAAACATGGCCTTTAAAAACAGCACTAGAACACTGTTTTGCACTTTGTGTGGTTTTTTTTTTTTTTTTTTTTTTTGCCAAACATAATTTCGAGATGATTCCTAACCCGCGGATCTGTAGCTGCCGCATTATCTGAACAGCTGTGTCATTTTCCATTGTGCGATGCAGCACAATTCTCCCAGCCCACACCGGCTCTGGGGACATTTTTAGGTTGTGGCTGGAAGGATGTGACCCTGTGCTGGGAGAACTTGCCCGTGGCTTCCAGGGTTTGGGCCTCAGAGTTGGCCCCAGGCCTCAGGCCCTTTCTTTAATTTTGGGAAAGGGCCTGGGAGCTCCTGGGAGCTTTGCCTGTGTTTTTGGTAAATGAGGGATGAAGAGATGACAGCTTCTCAGCATGCCAGGACTCAGGGTCCACTGCCGCCTCTGTCCTCTCCTCAGAGCTAGAGGCTGAGCAGGGGTCTCGGCTCAGGGCCAGCGCTGAGTAAACACCAACTGTGGGCCTCAGGGACCTCTCCCAGCAGCATGCAAGCCCAGGAGCCTCATATTTAGTCCAGCCAAGGAAAGTGACCCTAGCAAGGGGGGGCCTCTTGCCCGAAGCAAGGGGCAAAGACTTCAGCCAAGGCTCTTTCCAAGATGCCGACTTGCCCAGCAAGGGGGTGGACAGTTGGAGAGGAAAGGGGCCCAACTGTCCAGAACAGGGTGTGTTCTCCTGGAGCCAGGCCTCTTCAGGTGATGCCTGAGGTCTGTGAGCCCTAGTGCTGTCAAAGCACTGGTGCCTAGCTCATGCCCAGCGATTCTGTGGGAATTGGGCCTATGGGCTGCTACAGGGGTGAGGAGGGTGGAGGTGGGAGCAGTGTGCGTCATGTAACTGTTGCCTCACCCCCTCACAGTCCGGCTCCATGACAGCATCTCTGAGGAGGGGCACCACTACCTGATCTTCGACCTGTGAGTTTGGCCCCCTCTGGGGTGTGCAGTGGGGGCCAGGGGGTTTGTGCAGGAGTGAATTTGCTTGGTCTCTGGGCCTGAAGGGGCCCAAATGCTCCCTGGGAGGGCCTATTCCCTCTCATGAAATAGTTTCCCAAGTGAGTTAGTCCTGCCAACTGAGGGTTTTTTCCCGAAACACCCGCAAACACATTTAACTTCCATCTTCGTCTATTTAGCTTTGTTCCTATTTGTGGCCAGTGACGCTGGTTTTCCATTCCTAGTGGTGATGTAAAATTTCCTTTTGGAATAAATTTAAAGTTTGTAAAACCAGTTGACTGAATGAAAAGCAATAACAAAATGATTGGCCTCAGTGGTCCCTGGATTGGCAGGCAGCCTTGGCAACGACGCTGGCCTCGTCTGTAAAAAATAGCCCCTGAGATGTCATTGATGGGGGAGGTGAGGTGTGGGCGGGGAGGGCGGGGCGAAAGGGACTAGATGGGAAATCTCTGTACCTGCTGTTGAATTTGCTTTGAGGTTAAAAAATAAAGTCTATTACAAAATGACAATAAGCCCTGCCCTCAGGCTGCCAGGAGCATCATGAACCATGGTGATGTTCATTGGTTTCACGCCTGCAGCTCAAACTCCAGACTGGGACCTTTTGGAGAAGGGCCCAGAGGGAGGTAGAGGGTGGGGTGTAATCCAGGAAGGGGGTTGCAGCTGCAGGAGGGTGTGGCATCTTTGGGGCTGAGTTTCTGAGGTCCCTGGGCCTCATCCTTCGCTTCCTGGGGACTCCTCCAGCAGAGGAGGCACCTGGGCCTGGGGGTGGGGGGTGTGGTGACTCTGTGCCTGTCTCCTCAGGGTCACCGGCGGGGAGCTCTTTGAGGACATCGTGGCCCGGGAATATTACAGTGAGGCAGATGCCAGGTGAGAGCAGGTGCTGCCTGGCTGTGGAGCCCCGGAATAGGGGCCTCTCACCCGCTGGCTCCCCAGGGGAGGCCAACCTCATCCTGCAACTCTTCCTTTCTCTCCCCAGTCACTGCATCCAGCAGATCCTGGAGGCTGTACTGCACTGCCACCAGATGGGGGTGGTTCACCGGGACCTGAAGGTGAGCGATGGCTGAAGGTGACTCACCGGGAACCTGTCCCGTTGAACCCCTGCTGGGGCTGTGACAGGATCAGGGTCCCTTTCGCTTCCTTGAGTTGGACTGGGCAAGAAATGTCTCCTGCTGTTGGGGATGGACCCAGGTGTCCCGATGCCAAGGCCCATGCACTTTGTGCCAGCCAAGTGCTATGAGGTTACGCTGCCAGACTGGCCATGGCAGTGTCCGGATTCACTGTCCTGCTGCACACAACCTCGGGGACTGGCCTCGCAGTGGGGCTGGGGCTGTCCAAGGAGCTAGCACATGGGCCCGTCAGTGCTTATTCCCAGTCTCTGGCAGGCCAGGGAGAAGAAAATGCCTCTAGTTCTCAGAGTCTTCTCATTTCCACCTGAAGAGGGAGATGCACAGGACTAGGCAGGTGTGGAATCAAGGGCTTGAAGTTAAAAAATAGGCTATTACAAAATGACAATGGGCCCCGCCCTCAGACTTCCAGAAGCCCATGTTTGTTGGTGTCCTGCCTGCAGCTCAAACTCCAGACTGGGACCCTTTTCAGGAGAAGGGCCCAGAGGAAGGTGGAGGGTGAAGTGGAATCCAGGAAGGGGGTTGCGGCTGCAGGGGGTGTGGAGTCAAGGCTGGTGCCCTCAAAGGTCTGACGAGACCGTGCCTATTCGCCCACGCCTGTCGGTTCTCCTCTGTCGGGCCATCAGTAGGTGGTAGCTCTGAACATGCCCTCATCTTGCAGAGTAGAAGATGAAAACCTAGAGTCCAAGGCATTTGCCTGAGAATACACAGGTTTGCCTGTGTCCGTGCTGGGGCTGAAGCTGTGGCCTCTGGCCCCTGATCCTGTGCCTTCAGTGGTCTGGGGCCAAACAGCCGCTTAAGCAAACTCCTGTTCCTGCAGTTGCCCCTTCTAGGTGGCCTCCAAGTGTCCATGGAACATCTGTTTTTCACCTTTAGTGACTACAAACTCACTCCTTATGGTCTAGCCCCTTGACCTTTGGAAAAGTCTCCTTCTTGTCTTCCTGTGTTGGGGTTTCCTTTGTGAACCCCAGTTCTACCTTTTTTTTTTAAAAGATTTATTTGTTTATGCATACAAGAGAGGATTCACCAGAGACAGAGTGGGGAGCAGAAAAGGTGGATTGACTGAAATACACTGCTGAGGGGAGCAGCGGTCGAGACATGAGAGGTCTGCTGCGCCATGTGGGTCACCTCCCTGGTGGGACATTGAGCTGTAGTAGCTGCTGATAGCTTCATAGTGCTGAGACCAGAGAGGCCCCCCAGTTCTACCTTTCAGGACCACACAGATCAAGCCTCAGCTGAGAACAGCCCTAGAAACACACAGGCAGCTTTGCTGTGCCCCTGAATTCTTCCGCAGGCTGTTCCCGTCCCTACCGGGGGCGTAATTTCCACAGCTAGGCCTGCTCCAGCTGGCCCAGGTCCCTTTTTGGGGTTCAGTGTCTGAACAGAGCCTGCCCACTGCTGATGTCACCAACCGTCTGTGGCTCCTCACCTGAGCCCAGGGAGGCGAGGGTATTGCGGGCAGGGTCTCCGTCCAGACAGCAGGCGGCCCTCCCAAGGGGCCTGTTCCCGTTATAGCTACAGCCTCTGCACAGGAGGAGGGCGGAGCAGACGCAGCACAAATTTAGGCCACTCTGGGCAGATTAATTAGTGGCGCATTCATCAAACCAGGACAGGACAGCTACTGAGACCTGGGACACGCTGGGAACGCAGTCCCCAGAGGACAAAAGGGGCCTTAACTATGGGCAGACGGATCTATATTGGTTTGGTCCCACCTAGCTTTGGAGAGTGAAAGGCCAGATATGAGGCCCTCTCAGAATTCCCGGTGGGGAAAGGGTCAGAGGAGGACAGGAAGGTAGCTGTCTCCAGAGACTCAGAGCCCCTCCTCAAGCAGAAGTCACAGCGTCACCCTGCACTTGCTGTGGGCCACTGCCAAGTGCTCTACATGGATTGTCACAATTAACCTGTGTGCATGCTTCTCACTTTTCCAGAGGATAGCTCAGAGAGTGAGTAATTTGCCCGAGTTCCAGATAGAATTGGCAGCACTGGGTCAGAGCCAGGGGTGTCTAACTGCAGAGCCCACACTTATCTCTCCTCAGGAGAGGTTCTCCTGTCCCCCAGGCCAGCAGAAGGCATCCGCCTCAATGCCCCAGTGACCCAGTGGTCCGTGAGAGACCCCTTCTCTCAGCCTCGAGCAGTTAAGAGGAGAGTTTCAGAGTCACGCAGCCTCCGGCCTGATCAATCATTTACTAGCTGTGTGATTTTGTTCAAGTCACTGAACCTCTCTGAGCCTAAATGTCCTCATCTTTATATGTATGAGAAATACTTATTAAGCACCTGCTCCATGCTGCCCACTGTCCTAGGTGCTGACAGTGGATAGGACACATTCCACGGGGGTGACAGATAATGAACAAGCACTCGGACAAATGGGGAAAAAACAATTGTGAGATCTGTGAAGGTAATGAAAAGGAATTAAAGCCAGACTGTCTGGGGATTCCTCCTTCAGATAGAGTATCATGGAGGGCTTCCTTGAGGAGGTGATGTGCAGGTGAGTGTGGATGAAGCTCACAGGGAAAGCAAATGCATCAGTGGGGACAGGAAGTGCAAAGGCCCTGAGGTAGGAACAAGCATGGCTGTTTCAGGAGATATAGGAAGGACCCTGTGGAGAATGGAGATGATCTACCCCAAAGGGCTATTGTGATGGTAAATGAAATGATAGATCCAAAACACTTAGCCCAGTGTCTAGCACACAGTTGGGGCACAATAAATGTTACTTCTTTCTTATTGTGGTGGTAACTGTCTCCCAGCCCTCTGTACATCTTCAGCCCAACCTCAGTCCCCGGAGAGAGGGGGCAGAGGGCCTAACTTGTGGAGCAAGAGTGTTCCAGCTGCAGACACGAAGGTTGTGACCTAGTCACTCACTGTAGCTCTGTCTCTGGGATCAGAGGCTTGGGATCCTGTGGTTGGACCAGAGGTGGGGGCAGGACACCTCTAGATTGTCTGGCTACTCCTCTTATCTAGCCCAGGCTCCCCAAGGTGAGGCTCTGAATCCATTTACTGTCCTCTTGGTCCTTCCCCCCCCTTTCTCCCTCTCTGCTCTGCTTCTGGGAAGCCGGAGAATCTGTTGCTGGCCTCCAAGCTCAAGGGCGCTGCAGTGAAGCTGGCGGACTTCGGCCTGGCCATAGAGGTGGAGGGGGAGCAGCAGGCATGGTTTGGTGAGTGGTGGTGGGGCGGCAGGGTGACAGGACCAACCTTGCTCTGACACCTGGGCCTCTGAGCCCTCAGACTAAGCCTGGGTGAATTGGATGTGACTGTGCCACTAGCCAGGGTGCAGGGAGGAGGTCCCAGCCCCTACTCTCTGGGTCAGTGGGTGATGCCCCTCTCCCTGGGGGCCATGATTATCATTATAACAGAACATGTCTGGGGGTCCTATGGGGTTCCCCTAACTGCTTGGGTGCCAGAGATTTTTATGCCAATTCTACATATGAGCAGAAGCAAAGAAACTTGGAAAAGATTAAGGAAACTTCAGAGAGAAAGAGCCAGGATGTGAGCTCAGGCAGTCCTCACACTGTGGATGTGGAGGAATCATGTTCTTTCAGCTATCTGGAGATTCTCTTCTGTGGACGATATTGACTAGTGATGAAGAGCCGGAGCTCTGGGTTCAAATCTCAACCCTGCTACTTATAAGCTATATGACTTTGGGCTTCACTTCATCTCTCTGAGCCTGTTTTGTCATCTGTAAAATGGGGTAAATAATTCCATTCCTAGGGCTGTGTAAAATTGAGATCAGGTGTGCAAAGGGCCCAGCTCAAGGCTTAGCACACACTCTAATAATAGCAACTACTGTTATGATTACTTGTGAAATCAGCTCTTTCCATTCATCCTCCCAACAATGCCGGGAGGTATTTCAGACAGGAATCCTAATCCCTCACTTAACAGATGAGGAAACTGAAGACTTGAAGGGAAAACGATCTACCCAAGAGGCAGAGTTGGGGATAGGCCACAGGCCTCCCCAGAATCCACTCTCAGGGTACTGGGACAGTGGGGAGTGGATCGGGGTTCAGCTCAGCCTGGAACTGTCAGGCAGGGATAGTCATCTGATATGCCACCAGCAACTGAATTGTGGTGGCCATGAAGAGGCCATGCGAGAAGTTTCTTAAGCTATCAAGGTCCCATGCGAAGTCTCTGGGATCCATCAGTCACTTCTGCCACAGGCTCTGCCGTGGGGGTGGGGACTAGGTGCCATGTGCTTGTCCGCCCGGTCTGCAGGCTTTGTTGGCTTACCCGGCAGGGCTTTCTCCTGCCCGGGGCTGCCCTGGGGATGGTGGTGAGGGGGAGCAGCTGGTGATTACCCATCTCCAGGGCCACCCCCATCCCTCCTCTTGCAGGTTCTTGCAGGTTACTTATGTGCCAACCTCTGTGTGTGTGTCTGCCTGTGTGTGTGTCTGAGGAGCAGGGTTCGCAGGGACACCCGGATACCTCTCCCCAGAAGTGCTGAGGAAGGACCCTTATGGCAAGCCCGTGGACCTGTGGGCCTGTGGTGAGTCCCCCAGGGGCACCTTTCTGTCCAACTGCCTGCACCTCAGCACTGCTTCCTTTCCCATCGCTCCCCACATGGTTCTTCTCAGGGGGCTGAGGCTCTCCTGCTCCTCTCCCCAGGCGTCATCCTGTACATCCTGCTGGTTGGGTACCCCCCATTCTGGGATGAGGACCAGCACCGCCTGTACCAGCAGATCAAAGCCGGCGCCTATGATGTGAGTGTTGCTCCCTTCTCCAATGCTGTCGCCCCTGGGCCCCCTTTCATGAAAGCCCACGACCTGTGAGCAGAGACCTGAGGACGCCTCTCTCCCGCCGTGCCCCCCAGCCCCCAGTTTCTGTTGTGGATAAAGGATGAAGGGCAGGTGGAGCCTGAAGAGAGACTGGGGCTAGGCACTATGTTAGTCTGGGGATTTAGGAGATGGGGTTTATCCCATGGACCCCACAGGTCCTAAAGTGGGTAAGGGGATAGACCCCAGGAACCAGATGAGCACTCACTCTCTCTGTCTTTATATATATAAAAAGCCATATACGCACACACACAAACACAAATAATATATTTAATAAAATATACCATATAAAATATATGAAGTATGTATATTATATATTTATATATGATTATTTCTATATATACACATAATAATATAAGCTAAAACAGCATTCTTTTAAATGCTTTGCATGTGTTATTACACATACATCCCAATCTATGACATAGCTACTGTTGTTTCCCTATTCCACAGATAGGGAAGCTGAGGCACAGCGAGTTTACAGAACTGCCCAGATCAAATAACTAAGAAATGGGTGGCTGGGATTTGAACCCAAGCAGTGTGCTCTGGAGTCCATGCTTCTAACAAGTTTCTCTGCATGGCTGATACCCATCCAGTCACATACCATGTGTTTTCTATTTATTTAGTCCTTGAAGCAATTCTAGAGGCAGCTGGAAGGGTCACATGATATGCTCAAGGTCACACAGCCCAGGAGGCAGAGTCAGGACTTGAACCCACGACTTCTGGCTTTGAGGTCTGGGTTATGACTATTGGCTTGCTGCTCAGCACATAAGCACAGTCCCAGAATAACAGAGGGGGGCCTCCTTTCCCTCTGATTGCTGTTCTGATTTGTCCTGGGGCCAGGGGTACCCCTGATCCCAGAGGAGCTCCTGTGGTGAGGAGCCTTAGCTCCTCTTGCTTGTGGATACCTGAGTGGACAGGCAGTAGGACCCCTGCCTGCTCCCCTGCCAGTCAGGGGCTGGGGGATCGCAGGGGTGGCCTGGGTTAGGCTGGGCAAACCTGGCCCCTCTGCCCTTTCCAGTTTCCATCGCCAGAATGGGACACTGTCACCCCAGAAGCCAAGGACCTGATCAATAAGATGCTGACCATCAACCCGACCAAACGCATCACAGCTGCCGAGGCCCTCAAGCACCCTTGGATCTCGGTGAGCTTCCTCTAAGGGCCCTTCCCAGGGGCATCTCTAGACCTCAGGGTGCAGGCCCTCATAGAGTCCTGGCCCTGCCACCGGGCCTGTAGGTCTAGCTTGGGGCTGAGGGGCCTTGATCCAAGAAACGCTGACCCTCTGTGGGTCTCATGGGGAAGTGAAGATGAGGGATTGTTCTAGATTGGTGTCATGGCTGGGGAGTGCTGCTGGCCTTGAGTGTCTGGTGCCAGGGATGCCAAGCTCTGCTCATTTTGCAGTATCCTTAAGAACTAGGAATTGTCCCCTCTGGATGCCAGCCACTCCCCCTAAGATGCCCTTCAAAGGGTCCTTGGGTAGACCTTCCTTCTGCTCATAGACCTCCTCCTTCTTCCCATAGCACCGATCCACTGTGGCCTCCTGCATGCACAGACAGGAGACCGTGGACTGCCTGAAGAAGTTCAATGCCAGGAGGAAACTGAAGGTAACATGTTCTCACCCTCCACAGCCCCAGACTCAGGAGTAGCTTGGCCTGGGTCTCCACAGAGACCAAGAGATTCACTTGCTAGTTCTTTCCCTGGTTGAGCCAACGAGCGTTGATTGAGCACCTACTGTCCGGGCTGGGGATGAGCGGTGGAGAGGACAGACAGACGACCAGGACATTGCAGGGCAGTGGTGAGTGCTGTGCAGTGGCATACCCTGAGGCTGGGGGATACACAGCAGGGCCAGGAACGAGGTCTACCAGGACCAAGGAAGGATTTAAACCAATACCCTGAAGGATAAGCGGGAATCACAGGGAAATGTCAGAGTGGGCGGACATTCCCGACAGACAGAAAGGTTGGTGCAGAGTCTGGAAGCTTGAACTTGACTCCTGATAGAAACTTCAAGTGTTTCAGTATTGCTAAGGAGAGGTTTCAAGGATGACAAGTGGCTGGGCAGGAGACTATGGTGGGGTTTGAGAGGCCCTAGTTATGGCGCTCTCGAGAGGAATGACCCAGAGACTTGGACAAGGGTGATCGTGGCCCTGAGGAAGCCAGAGTGGGACCAAAGTTGTCCCTGAATGGTGCCCTCTCTGCAGGTCCTGTGTCTTCTCAGAACCCAGATTCTGCCACAGCCCTTGCCAGGGACCCCTGGAATAGATAGGATGAGGGTTGGGGGATCCCCAGTCAGTTAGAGCAGAACAGTGATGAGCACCCTGAGTGACAGGTGTTAAAACTTCAGCTAATTTGCTCCCAGGCTGACAGTTCCCTGGCCTGGCATCGTGGCTCAGGACAGAGACTTGGGTCGGGGGTAGTGGCCAGCATGAGGCCAGGAGAACTGGGCCCCACTCCTGCCCCTGGAGGGCGTTGTCACGGAGGATGTCTCCAAGTGCTGGAACCAGGGATTCTTAAGATCCTGAACTCAGAAGGTGTCCCGATTAGACAGCACCAGAAACTAAAGGACTACGGCCTCCCAGCTCTCTCATTGACAGAAGAAAGTTTCTCCACCTAACTCTCTGGGTTCTGGGCCAGGGACCTTGGAGGGACGAGCCTACACTAGAGTGAGTTGCTGAGTGCCTCAGGTGGATGGGGTTGGGACGGAGGGACTCAGGGCCTCCCATTCTTGCCTAGGCGGGAAGTTTCCTTGGCCTTCAGGGGCCCCCACCAGCAGGTGTCCCCCTAGCTCATTCACTAGCTCGGGCCAGGCCGGTGGAACCTATTAATATCTTGTCCTGGATGGATCTGCCCCAGAGCTGTGCCAGTTAAGGCCTAGCCCGTCCATCCCAGCTTCTCCAGGGAGCTGGTGGTGGGCTCTGGCTGTGGGTGGGGGACAGATGGCAGGGTAGGGGCACAGACTTTGGCCCTGTTTCTCTGAATGGAGCATCTGCTCTCCCTCCCCACGCCCCTCCCATTTTCTGCCTCCTCTCTCCCTCGCCCCCTCCTCTTATCTGTTGCAGGGGGCCATCCTCACCACCATGCTGGCCACCAGGAACTTTTCTGGTAGGTGGTGGGATCTCAAAGTCCCCAGTACATCTTGCAGGAGGTGGGGACATTGCCATGTCGGATATCTGGGTGTCCTCAGGCTTGGGTCCTGGGGAGAGAGGGAGCTGCAGAGGACCCAGCTCTGGAATACAGTGCACTTGACACAAACTTGTACTCAGAAGTGGGGAGAGGTCAAGGTCAGCAAGCTCAGGGCCTACCAGGACAGTAGAGGTTCAGTTTGCCTCCCCCACCACCCGGCAGTGCCGGGCTTCTTAGACTGGGCTAGCCGGAGGGGACGGCCTCCCTGATGTGGGGCTGCAGCTCCCCATCCTTCCTGGAGTCACCATGTGCTAAGCAGTCACCATGCTGCTCAGGTGGCCTTTGTGACCAAGCAATGGGGGCTATTCCATAGCTGTTTTAGGGAGTGACATCAACTCGTACCAGGTCGCACTGACCAACCCCTAACCAGGCTGGGTCACCAGGGAGTCCAGGGTATGAGCCCTTGGCCTTGGCTAAAGCAGGGCTAGTTGAGGTGGGGAGTGCCCAGTGCCCTGTGGCATGTGGCCCTAAGAGAGAAAGGGAAGGATTAGTGTCAGGATTTAGCAAGAAGCTCCCCCTGGCACGTTGATGTGCTAGGGCCAGCGCCTGCCAGAGGCTTCTCTCTGGGGACCCCGCGGCAGCTGACCGGGCAGCTGAGCAGATATAGCAGAGCTCACCCGAGAGGCCCTCTGACTGGGGCTGGGCCAATGGGAGAAGCAGCTGAGGACGCGTGGCTGGCCCTGAAGCCAGTGTCACTCCAGGAAGCCCCAGGCAGAGGGTCCACCTGCCCAGGCAGCCAGCTGGGAGAGTGAGACCAGAGTGGGGAACCCTGGAACTTCAGCGTTGGGTTCTGAACCGCTGCGCTGAGCTTCCTCCCCCTCTCCCCAGAGCAAGGACCCTGAAGTTCCTGCAGCTGAAAGATGAGCCACCCAGTCAGAGTCTTTTTTTAACAACCAACGGCCCCTAGAGAACTCTAGTGCTGACCTGACCAAGTGGTGCCTGGGGGTCATTTCCCATCTCTGCATGTTCTGGGGGGAACAGTAGTGTTTTAAAAAAATTCTTGGAAGTAGTTTTTAGCACTTCAAAATCAGAAGCTTTCCTAGAAAAAACCCAATTTCTGTCTTCTCTCGAAAAATCGGAATAAGTAGCCTCTCCGGACCCTCAGGGCAGGAGCTGTGAAGGGCTGCCCTTTGAGGCTGAGGGGCGAGCTGTCCCCCCAACCCACTGTGCACCCCAATCTGCCCACAAAGCTTGTGGTGAATGGACAGGCATTCTTCTCGGCTTTGGGATCCAGAGGTACCCACCCCCCAATCTTGCTTTGCAAGAGGAAAACTTTGGACGAGAGCCTGCAAGGGGTCATGGGTGGAAATGTGAGGATGGCTGGAAGCTGAACCTACCAGGAACTTCTGGGGAGTCACTGTTAGGTATGGTCCCCTGCCCTAGCTCATCCGTCCCAGGGCCCAGGAAGATTTTGAGTGGCTTCTAGCTCCCTGACACCTACCACATGCGGGGCCAGGCTATGCCAAACACTTTCAGGATCCCGGTCTCACTTAGCTTACGGCATTTACTTGAGGTCTGAGCAGACAGGCAGGGCTGGCATTTGTGCCATTTACTGCTGATGCCTCTCCTAGGCTCTGGCCAGGAGGTGATGAGGGGTGGAGGGAGCCGCAGAGGTGAGCCTCCTCGCGAGCAGCTGTTCTGCTTTTCTTGGCCAGCCTGGGTACAGGCAGCCCAGGGCGGCCCCCGAGTTTGAGGGTAGGAGGCCTCTGCAAGGGATGGGTGTTCTGGCAGGGATGGGCCCGGGGTGGGGGCGGTGGGGGGCATCTGCTTTTTGTCACCGGCAAAATGTGGCTTGCAGCTGTCCAGAGTGAGTAGGCAGGGCTGACACATGACCTCTGCAGCAGCATGGGGCTAAAATTAGAGCCAGCCAGGGTGGGCAGGGAGCGTCCAACCCCGGCCGGGCAGCCAGGCCTCTGGGTTGGCCACTATTAACACGGGTGGTGACTGGGATCCAGAGGGAATCCCCAGGCTGAAAAAGCAACTCCGCCGTCCTGGACACCTCCCTCAACCCATGGGGCCAGCGGGTCATACTTGAGATTGCTGAGAACTGGGGAGCCCAGGCTCACCTACGGGGCCGGCAGCAATCCCAGGGCCACCGAGAAGGGAGGAGGAGCAGGACCAGGAGGTCTCCCCCCAGCTGGCCAAACCGGCTTCAGGCCCTTCGGCTGCCTGTGGATGCTGCTTTTCCTCGCTCTGTGGGCCCTGGTGCCCTGCCTGGTACTGCTAACCCTCTACTTTCTGTCCTCCGCAGGAGGGAAGAGTGGGGGAAACAAGAAGAATGATGGTGTGAAGGTAAGGCCCCGGAAGCCTGGCAGGGCCAGCCTCTGGCAGCCTTTTAGCCAACAGGCTGGGTTTCAGGCTGGGGTTAGACCCAGGCCTTGCTGATGGTGTTCTGGGAATATGGGTGACTCCTGCTGTCAGATGTCCCCAGAGCCAGAGGCCTGGGATTCAGTGCCCACCCTCTCACCAGGATTGGAGGGGGGTGATGGGGACCAGGATTGAGAGAGGGTGGGAGAGGCAGGTGGCCTGGGTTTTAGGGTGGGTGCCAGGATATGGACAGGTCCTAGGCTATTGGTCCAGGTTATTGTGGTTCTCTGAGACTGGAGGACTGAAGAGCAAAGAGGGGACCCAGATGATCATGAGGGATGACCTCCTTCTTCCCAAGTGTGGGCCTCAGTCCCACTGTACACCCGAGTCCAACCCACAAAGCCCAGGGCAGCTCTCCCTCTTGGCTTTGGGGTCTAGAGGCACTCTTCTCCATGAAAGTCTGGGGGTCCAGCGCCAAGAATCCCACCCTCCTGCACCCTCCTGCACCCAGGCCTGCCTCTGTCCCTTCCCCAATGCCCGAGCTACTTCCCCCCACATCTGCTGACATGCCCTCTTCTCTCTTCTCCCTCTGCTTTCTGGGCCTGGGCCCGAACTCTGATCCTTTCCTCCCCTGCCACTGGCTCGCCTTGTGGGTTCTCCTCTCTTGAGACCCTGCCTTTTTCTGGGCTCAGAGCCCTGCCTGGCCAGGGTCCCAGGGCTGGGCTGTGCCTGGGACACTGGAAAGTATGCGGTGCTATCCAAACATAGCCACCCAGGTGGGCTTCATGGCTTTGTTTGTGGTGACATGTACAGTATCATGAGCTGACTTTGGTCTGTTGGGGGTGGGGGGGGTGCATGGGAGGGGATCCAGACCTCCCTCTGGCTGGATGAGACCAGCATCCAGGCCTTTAGCCCTCTGTGGGCTAGGGTTGCCCTATTTGTGCAGTGGGCAGGTGGAAGGGGAACCGCACTATGACGTCCAAGATAGCGGTTTGAAAAAATGACAAGCAAAAAAAAAAAAGAAGGAGAAAGCAACAAAACCTATCTAGTCCTTGGCCCTTTTCATCTTGGGTTCTGAGGACTACATAATTATTTTGTTATCAACCGAAGCTGTTGGGTTCAAAATGAATTTCTTGTAGCCCAGAGGTTCTAGGGAGATACCTCTAACAGCACATAGGTGGGGTGGAATTTGAAAGAGGAGGTCAAGCAGAGAAGTTTCTGGGCTTCTCATGTCCCTTCAACCAAAGCAGCTCCGCACAGCAGCCATGGCAGTGGTGAGGGAGCCTGGGCAGTGACAGTGGAGCCCTCTGCTGGTCACCTGAGTCTTCTGCACCTGTGTCACCTCGTTCTAGCCAAAGGGGTCCAAACAGGTCCACCTCCCAGGAGTGTTTATGGGGATTAACTGAGAAAATGTGCATTGACAAACAGAGGTGGTACTGGGGTGCCCTTCAAGCTTGGGCAACGCTGGCACTGTTATCATCTTATCTGCTTTATATATTGGACTTTCGGGTAAGATTGCTCCTGAAAACAAAGCTTGCTTAAGAAAATATTTGGTAACCACAGATCCTAAGTCAATCCAGTTTATAGAGTTAACATGCACCCATCCCAGATTCTGGATGGAGTTCTGTGCTGAGTCCTGGTTTGCCTGATGTTGGGGTTTCCCAGGAGGCAAACTCCTTCTGCCCAATTTGAAAGGATGATGGAGGAAGGAGCAATGTGGGGACAGCTGGTTTGGAGTCAGGGTGCTCTCTGGTCCAGGGTTTTAGATTCTGAGTTGGGGGTGCTGGACTCTCTGGGGAAAATTGTACTTGGTGGACCTGGGGACAGAGACCACAGGCACTGGTGGGCTGTGGTCCAGGTCAGTGGAGGAGGGGACAGCAGGCCGGCCCCCCAGGACTGCTGGCCTCTTGGTGTGGCTCTGGCAATGGCTAATGCAGAGCCCATGAGCATGAGGTCAGGGTTTCCCTCTGTGAGTCCTTGGAAAAACTCCTCTCTCAGCAAGACCAGAGGTGGAGGCACGTGGGGTTCCACCTGGTCACCCCAGAGGCTTTCTAGTGGGTGCAGCTGAAGAAAGTGTCACTGCTCCCTCCAGCGGACAGGCCCTAAGTGACCTCTCAGGGTGGCCTGGGTGTGGATGGACAGATGCTTGAAGGCTCATCCTGCCCCACTGTGTCTTTGTAGCGCAGCCTCCATCCCTTCCTTGAGGTGCAAGAGGGGGCACATCCAGCTGGAAGATGAGAGTTATCAGGGTCCTTGCCTGGAATTTGGGGAGCCCAGCCTGCACTGTGTCACTCTGGGGGGGTCCACTTATGTTCTCACTACAACTGAAACCGAGTCTAAGGTCATGAAGCCGTGGGTGAGTCCCTGCCCCACTGTTCCCCACTCGGGGACCTGGGCCACTAGGTCTGGCCCCTGTGTTGGGGGCTGGTAGGAGGCTCGTACCAGAGTGGCCAGGTGGAGTCCTTAAGCCAACGCAGGCTCCGCCAAAGGGGGAAAGACATACTCTTCCCACAACTTGGTCCCTGGCAGCAAACCATTGTTTCATCTGGGCCTTAGCTGAAGAACCAGAGGTCAGTTCCAACGCTGGAGGAAAAATGGCTGCGGGCGTTTCGAGCGATGGCGTGATACGGTGCCTTCTGGGTCTGCGGGGCTCTGCGAGGCTAACTTCAACCATTCTCCATTTCCACCATCCTTGTAGCCTTAGAACCAAGCTTCTCCTTGTGGTTCTAAGAGATGTGACTCTTGTTTTGGTGAAAGCTAAGTGCTGGTCCGCGGGGCTGTGGCTGGTACCATCATCATCTGTGATCTGGGAACTAGTCTTTCTATCGCCAAGAAGCAAGGCCAGCCCCCAACCTCCCCAGGCCTCTGTGTTTGTGAGGAGGGGCCAGCTGCTCCCACCCCTCAACCCCACTCACTGCCCCTGTTGGTGTCCCATCCGTGCCGTCGTGACCCTCCCCCATGTCCCATCCTGTCACTGTGCGTCCGGATCTGATGCAGTCTCTGCTCTGTGTTCCTCCTCGTGTCCTGCCTGGAACTTCCTGGCCCCTGTGCCGTTCCTCAGGTTTCTGCTGACAGCCTGTGCGGCCTGTCCCCTCCCATACACAGTGGGCCTGGCCCGGCTCCACCTGGGAGCAAGGCCGCATAAGAAGGAGAGGAGGGACAGCTGGCCATGGCTGTGATTGGATGTCCCACTGCCCGGCCCACTGGGACAGATGTGAGGCTGGGAATGTTGACACTGGAAGTACCCAGCAAGCCCCCCTGCCACGTCTGTGGGGGCCCTGGATGGACAGACAGGCTTCTAGGTTCCTAACACTCAGGGCTCCTGGATCTTAGTCAGAAAGCCCAAAATTAGACTCTAGGACGCTCAGGGAAACTTCAGTGCCTCCCCCTGGCACATGCCTCCCCTGAGAGCATCTCCAGTCTCCCTTCTGCTCCTCTCACATGCAGCAAGAGAGAGGCTTCCTGGCCTCTCTGACAGAAGTGTATCTAGGAAAGACACGCCTTTGAAGCGGGGTCAGTTGGTGGGTGCCCAGAGACTGGGGCAGAAGAGAGACTCTGCACGCAGCGGGTCTAGCCTCCGCCTGCAGCCACCAGTTGGGCAAGCCTCCGCCCTTCCCGGGGCCCTAGTTTCTTATCTGTCCAATGCAAGTTTTGGTCTGGACCTGCTACCTCTATGAATGAGAGTCTTTAAGACTCCTGGCTCAGAGCTGAGAGAGGGAGAAAATAATTTATATCGGTCCTCACTTTCTCTCCTTCCCTGGTTTCTCAGCCAATATAAGTGCCTCCAAAGCTAGAACAGGCCAAATGGCCAGGCCCAAAGAGTCAAGTTCTGGGCTCAGCTTTACTTCTGGCTTTGCCTCAGTTTCTTTCTCTAGGTCAGTCACTGACAAGTGTGAATGTGAGCAGGATTTCAAAGGTCACTTACAGGACTGGTGCCCACACCTGACCCTGCTTTGGAAATAGAGAGGCCTAGACCCTACTCCTGACCTAGTTACAAAACTCCTGCTTATGTGTACTTTTGACAAGTTTCCCTGGAGCACTCAGCCCAACCAAGAGTGGGATTCCCTCTACAGGGATGTCCAGGGAGTCTAGGAGACTGGGGCCACAGTTCCTGGTTGGTGTGGTCTTTGTCCAAAAGTTTTGGATCTTAGGCCTTAGGCAGCTTCTCCCACTGAGTACAGCGCAGAAGGCTGCCCTGTCCAAGAGGACTGACGTGGAGCTTGAACTGCTGTGTGTGAGACCCCAAGACTTCAGGCCGAGAGAGGACTGGCCCTGCCAAGTCAGTGGCAGCTGATGACCTTGACTCTTTTCACTAATGCCATCCTGGCAAGGGGCCACAGAGGATGACCCTGAGGCCCATCCTCCTCCCAAATCTCCCCTGTCATTTGTTCCTCTGCTCCCTGCCGTTTTCACGCTGTGTCTTTTCCTGTCCCATCTCTTCTCCTTGTTTTTCCAGAAAAGAAAGTCCAGTTCCAGCGTTCAGTTAATGGTGAGTGTCTGCCGTCTCCCAAACGCCGGTAAATGCTGGGCCTCGAACCCTCGCTCCTGCCTCCCTCCTGCAGGCTGCACTGGGAACCCGGGGCGGGGAGCGGGCACACAGGGCGTGCTTGGTATGTGTGCCTTGTGCAACAACATGTGTGTTGCGTGTGTGTTGTTTGCGTGTTTCTGTTGACACCTCCAACTCCATGGCCCAGACCAGCAGCCTGATGGTAGACTTGAGTACACCCTCCGGTCTGGAGGGTGATCTGAGCCCCATCCCATGTCCAGCTCTCGGCTTCTCGCTTCTCCCGCCCCTCTGCTCTGGCCCTCATCTCAGGGCTTGGTCGGTGCCAGTTGCAGCGAGGGTGGGGCTTGGTTTGGCCTGAGTAGTGGGTACAGCGGAGGCCACTCTTGAGCTTCTGCAAGGCTACCCAGGGCCCGCCGGTGGCAGAGGGACCACCAGCCCCGGCCTCTGTCTAGGGGTTCCAGTGGAGGCATGGTGGCCCACGTCCCTCTTCTTCTGATTCCATTGCTGTCTCACTCAGTTGCGTGGTTTTTCTCCCCCTGAAAAGCTCTCACACTGGGCCTTCCTCTCTCTCTCTCTTCCTCTCCTGCCAGTGTGTGCATTCCTCTCCCATTCTGTGGCCGCCAGTGCCTCTCTGCTCCCCCATACCTGCTCTCTGCTCCTTGAGCAGACAGATCCCAGGAACCCCCTTCCAGCCCTTCCAGAAAGGCCAGGGTTCTCCTCGAAGCCCTCCCTCCATCCATGGCCCCCAGTGCCAGCCACCTGCTTAGCTGGGCCCATTCCCCTCAGGCTTGGAGGTCTGGCAGGTTTTCAGTGCAGCATCTGGATGGCAGAGCCTGTGAGGCTGACAGAAACTGGGCTACTGCATTAGGGCTGCAGGGCAGCCCCCCAACTGGCTGTATTTCATCCTGCTGCCCGTCAGGTCTCACCGTGCCCCATGTTCTCTTTGGCAGGAATCTTCTGAGAGCACCAATACCACCATTGAGGATGAAGACACCAAAGGTAGGGGGGGCCTTGCCTTCGGTGTCTGGGCCCCCGGGCCTCCCAGCAGGCCCCTTCACAGACAACACCTGCCCTGAGAGGGCGCAGCGCTAACCTGTGTCTGGTTCATCTTTCACAAGCCCTGCTTTGACTCTTCAGACTGGGCATTCTGTGGGGTGCTCTTTCCTTGGGCGGGGCACTCAGTGCCCAAGGGGTACATAGATGAACTTCTCTTATCCTAGAGGTTATGCATTAGAAAAAATTAATTTAACCAACCCAAGTCACAAATGTATAGTAGTGATAGAAATTTTCTTTTTGAAGTGTTTTTGAATTTTTAAAAAGTGAGTTGATTTTTAAAACATGCAAAGTAAAGGAAGGGAAAGCAAAATTCAGAAAGTTCAGTTGACTAGAGTATGAGAAAGCCTATCTCAGACCAACCCCAAATGCAGGGCCACTGTAACTTGTATATTATGGTCCTTGAAAGCCCTCAGATGGATGAATGAAGGAGCAAAACCCCAGAGAACTGTGACCCTAGTAGCTGATCCCACCTCAGCCTTGGCATGCTGTGTGCCTTTGAGAGAGTATCTTAACCTCTCTGGAGTCTCAATTTGCCTCAGCTTTGTAAGGGCTCATTCCTAGGTTGTCTGGGTGAATAACTGACAGATCAGAAATGCCAACGATTGCTACTAAACACCTGCTGGATAAAGCCCTCACATAGCAGTGGGATTGCTGAGAGCCTGGGAGGGGTCTTGAACCGATGGGAATTTCTCCAAATCTAAGAATCACCAGACCCCGAGATCTTCCACTGTTATCAAACTTGGTGTCCTGAGTAGATGTAGGCACAGCCAAGTTAGGCACTATCCCAGGTTGCATTAATAGAGATGGAGAGTCCAGAGTTGGGGAGGGGATAGAGAGTCCTAGCCTAGACCTGCCATTCTGCAACATCGAGTCATACATGGGGTTATGTGCTGATGCTCAGAGAGGCATCCAGACTGGTCGAGAACTGACTTGAGTCAGATCTTGCAGACCATATTAACTGTGACCTGATATTAAGAGAGAGAATAGTTAGCAACAGTAATAAGAACAATGGCTTCCTTTATGGACCCTGGCTATGTGCTAGGCTTGTTGCAAATGCTTTCCATTTATTGAACTTCACAATAAATCTCTGAGGTTGGAACTGTGGTGAACCCCACTTTAAAATCCAGGAAAGTGAAAAGTTGAGTCAAGTAGCTCAAGGTCCCTGGGCTCATACGGTGGAGTTAAGACTTGAACCCAGGGATCGTGACTTGTAACCACCACTCTGGAGGCCCAGCGTGTGAAGGTGCACTTGGTACTTAGGTGGGCACGGACTTCTGCTCAGGAAACACCTGATCCTTGGAATGAGTTAGTGATGTCTCTGCGCTGCTTGCACGTGGACCTTGTCTCCAGGACAGGCAGACCTCGGAGCCCAGAGGACTTTACACTCTGGGGTATGTGTCAGAGGCCCCTGAGGAGTTGCTGACATTGAGAAAAACATGGAGAGCATGCAATTGTACCAGCTTAGACCTTTCAGGAGTTTAGATATTTTGCTCTTAAAAAAATACAGCAATGAGTTAAAGAGCATTTTTCTAAATAACAAATATTCTTTCACAGTTATAAGTCAGGCTTTAGGGCAGTTTCGAAGCCCCAGATGCTATGACTAACCCTGGCTCTGCCAGGAAGCCCTGGAAGACGGGCCCCAGCCTGTGTGTGTCCCTCTCCGGCGCTCATTCCCAGCTGGGTGGGGTGTTACTCTAAGCCCATAACCTGGCACTAGCGCAAATCAGTCTTCCGTGAAGCACTCGGGACAATCTTTAAAAATATATCATCTTGATAAATTCTCTGTTAAGAATGTTAAGTCAGCATTGTAAGTTCTTAAGTATGATTTTATATCCACATGCCCAGCCTTGCTGCTACAGATTCTGATTCCATAGGTCTGAGAGGTGCATTTCTAAGACATTCTTCAGAGTTAAGGCTCACTGCCCCAATGGTAAGAGTTAGGTTGGGAGTTTGTTGGAGACTCATTGTGCTCTTGTGACCCTGGTCTCAGAGCCAACAGGTACTGTGGAAGTGAGCTGGCTCTGTTTTCCTCGCTAAAGTTCATTTGCTGAACGCCCTTAGACAACTCACTCAGCCTCTCTGAGCCTCACTTTTCTTAAGAGTAAAGAGGCGATTATGATAGAGCCAACCTCAGAGGATTGCTGTGCAGTGTCTCAAGTGCTTCCACAGTATTTGGCGCTTGGTAATTGTTTAACAATTCACAATTTCTTTTTTCCAAAATGGAGTTCGTGGTTAAATGGCAAAGAAGCTGCATGACATTTTCTTGGAGCATCAATTTTATGCAAAGATCGTTTTAAGACAAATATTTATACGTTAAACAGACAGAGAAATATTTGGACAGGCAATGAAAAATTTGTATGCACTATTAATGTAAACTGTGAGCTGTCAAAGACATTTTCCACCTGGGGAGATGGGTCTGGTGCGTCCCGGAGTCCTGACGTCTGCAGTCTTTTTCCTGTGCTTTAGAAAGATCAGGAAGGAAACATCTGTGAAATCTCGACTTTAAGTTTACCTATGCCCCTTCTACAGAGGAGACCAGAGGCCCACACTGGAGAAAGGGCATCTTTTGGTGATTAATGACAGACCGGGAACCCTGTTCTCTGCCTCAGTGTCTCCACACGGAAAAGGTCATGTCTCATGGCAGACTGGCTCCACCATAAGCTTCTCCTGTGGCTGGCAGGAGAGAGGAGCCTGTGTCTCCCCCTGCTTCTCTAGGTCTCAGAGAAAGTTTCCAGAGAACCATTTCCTGGTGTTAATTTGTTAAGTCTTCTTACTAAGTGAGAATAGCTGCTGGTGGGGTGGATTCTGACCTGACATTAAAGTTAATTAGAAATGTCATCCTCCAGGGAACATGTGCCCCTGAGCAAGGAAAGGGACATTAATATTTCAGAGCCCCTCAGGCTTAGTGCCCAGGCCTCTTGCTCTCTGAGCCACACGTGACTCTGCCAGCTTCCTTTCTGCTCCTCTACCTCCTCCTGGTCAGTTCCATGAAAAATTAATTTCCTCTTCAGCCCAAAGAGCTGCTTCAGATCTGGGTAGAGACATGATGGGAAATATCCATCAAGAAGGCTGATTCCATTTCAGCCTCTGCATGCTGTGTGATATTGAGAGAAATCCTTAACCTCTCTGGACCCTCAGCTTTGTCCCAGTTTTGTACAGGAGCACTCCTGGGTTGTCTGGGTGAACAACCGGCAAATGAAAAATGCCAGAGGTTGTGTCTAATACCTGTGTGAGGGATAAACCCCTGACATAGCAATGGAACTTCTGAGGGCACGGGAAGAGCCTAGAACCAGAGAAATTTCTCTAGATCTAAAGTGAAACAGACCCCCAGGTTCTTCCATCCTAGACAATGAACCTAGGGAGATTCCTGAACATTACTCTTCCACTGTTGGCAAACTCAGTGTCTGGAGTATGTGGAGGAAGAGCCAAATTAGATACCATCCCAGACTGCATTAATAGAAGTACAATATCCAGAATTAGGGAGGGGATAGAGTGCTAGCCTAGACCTGATATTTTGCAATATCAAGCCACACCAGGGATTACATGCTCACATTCAGAGAGACATCCAGACAGATTAAATACATTGTGGGCTTTCATCAGATCTTGCAAACCACATCCTGGACACCTTCAGCCCTGTGAAGAGAAGACTAAGGAGGGGTGTACAGTGAGCCTGGGGGAGCAGGCTCTCACTGCAGGGCCCCAGAAGGCAGAGAGGGGACTAGAACTATAACTCGACACTTTCAGGGGCACAGGTTTCTACTTGAAAGCAAGAGGTAGGTGCAGAGTGAGAACTGCTCAACTAAGAAGGCCCAACGGTCCAACTAAGAGCTAACTGTAGCCTGTCAGTCTGCTAGGAATTGTCCCCATACTAGCTCGGGCTAGAGGCTGTCATTAGGAGGAACTTCCAATTCAGAGACCTCCAGATGCCAAGAATCACAGCTCTCATTTGTGGAGTGCCAAGCACTGCTCTAAATACTTTACATAATGCATCATTATTTATATAAATGAGTTGATATAACAGCCTTGGAATAGCAGCTGGCTCATAGTGAGGACCACATATGTGTTAGTTATTCCTATTGATAGATTCTTAACTCAAATCTCAAAACTACTAAATGAGGTAAGTACTATTTGTAGCTCCAACATATATGGGTAAACTGAGGCACAGGGAAGTACCTTGCTCAAGGTCACACAGTTATTAGTAGCAGAACCAGGATACAAGCTCAGGGAATCTGGCTCCAAGAATCCATGCCCGTGACTGCTTTGCTAGCCTCTCTGAGATGGCAGGGAAAAGCAGCCCAGGGGAGCTGGGGTTTGAAAGAGGGGCTTGTGGCATGGCAAGCTGGAAGGATTCTGAAAATCCATGCAGAGGAGGTGGTGCGGACCTCAGAACCCACGAGGAACATGTGGACTCACTCTGGGTTGCCACCTCGATTCCATGTAAGAGCGACTGGATGAATTGTCTCCTGCCTAACTGGGTTTCTTCCCACCCAGGTGTCAGGTTCTAGGGAGGAGGGTGGAATTGACCTGGTGGGGGGCTTTTGGACTCCTGGTGACAGGCATCTAGGAGACCGGGACCATGCCAAGAAGCAGCCCCAGGCCCTGGGCTGGCCCAGCTTCCTTCTTTTCTCTTTATTGTATTATTGATTTTTTTTTTGTTTTGTTTTTCCCTTTCTCTTTTAAGTTTTGCTTTCTTTCTTTTCCCTTCTTTTTATTTTTCTGTTTCTTTTCAAAACTAAAAGATTTTTTTTTCTTTTCTTTTTTTTATCCACCCCTTCATTCGTCATGCTGCTTCTGCCCCACCCCAGACAGGTCCCCTAGGAGAAAAGAGTAACACCAAGTAACCAGCAAAACTCAGGTGTGGGGATTCTTAATGAAGCTGGGGAGAAAGAGCTTGTCACTTGAGGCAGTGACTAACACTGCAGAGGCTAACAGCTACATCTGTGGGGTGTGGGCCCCGCCTGGAGAGGCACGTGGTTGGGGGGAGAGTGTGCTGAGCTTGAGCACAAACTCAGGTTGGGCAGGTGCCAGCTGGAGCAGGCCCTTTCCCCCAGACCCTTACGTCTGCTCTTCTGACGTGGTGGCCGCATGAAGGTGAGCTGTGAGGCTTCCATCTTCCACACTCAGCACAACGCAAGGTGCTCGCTCATCGGGAGTGAGCGCCTGCGGGGCCCGGCCTGTTCCAGGTTCCAGGGCTCCAACCACAGCTTGGCCTCATGGACTTATATTTTACTTTGGACTAGATAAATATACTGGCCACATATGGGCCCAAACATGGTAGGGCGTGCATTGTCACCAGGGTCTTATGGAGAAGGGCCCACGCTGGGAGCCAGATTCTGTACCTGATACATTCTGTGTCATTGGGTAAGTCACCACCTGTCACCAGGCCTCATTTTCCCCAACAGTTGGATCATGAGGTTGAGTCTCTGGGCTCCAAGCTTCTTCCAGCCTGAATGCTCTGTGAGTGGATGGGTAGGTGGGCATGGGTAGTGGTGAGGAAGGGACAGGTACAGGGCTGCAGCCAGGCATGGGACACTCCCCTGCTCCCCCTCACTGGGAAGTGGGCAACGTGTTCATCTGCATTTCCTGAGTTGTTTCCAGTAAGCCAATGAGCTGCCAGGTTGAAGTTAAGCCGGAGCTGGGGAAAGAGGGGACTCGGCCCTGCCCCCAAGAAACCCAGTGAGGCTTCTGTTAGGACTGTGCTGCTGGGGCAGGACACCGGCTTCAAGTCTCTTCATCATGGAGGCTGGCTCCTTACATGAGCAGTGCGGGTCAGCCTTGCCACTCATCTCCCAGGGCCTCTGTGAGGAGTATGTGCGGCAGCGTGTGGGAAGGTGGGAGAGCTGGCACAAAGTGCACCTGCTAGGTATTGGGCTAAGTGCTTGGTGCCATTGTCTCACCCATGTTCATAACCCTGGAGGAGGGCACATCCTCTCCATCTGACAGGCCAGGGACCAACCTGGGGCTCATGGTGGCCCAGCTGTGAGGGCCTGGGCTGGAGTCTAGATAAAGTCTTTCTGGATCCAAAGTTGGGCTCTATCCATGACATGTTCAGCTCTGAATGCCTAAGTGTTGGTGCCAGGCCCACTCCACAGATGGCAACGCTGGACCAGCACATGTCTAATATGAAAACTGATGCCTAACCCACTACCAGAGACACCAGCTGCTGTGGTGTTTCCCTGGCGGACGGGGAAGCCAGGCTCAGCAACTGGCTTTCATTATGCTTAGAAAGTTCTGGACAGCTCAGTGTCTCATTCTCACAGGTGCCTGAATACAGGAGAAATCTCCCCCAGTCCTAAGGGATGAGTAAACCCTCACCTTCCTCAGTGGCCCTGGTTTTGATCACTGGGGAGTCCCTGGTTCATGAACCCGGGGTGACAACTACCGTGGTTGACCTTGTTTTGGTTCAGGTGGCAACGCAAGGGAAGGAGAAGCATGTTTTGGAATCAAGGCTTGTGCTCACCCAAGCAGGCCTTGAGTAAGGATGTCCATCAGACCTGCTTCTTGGAGGCAAAGGCAGCCGATGGAGACACTGGCTCTGGCCCTTGCAGTTGAGGGGATTTTCACCTTTCTGTGAAGTGAGGGTAATGACACCCTCTCAGGGGAGATGTGAGGGTACATGAGACACTCCAGGTGAGGCCTTGGGCCCAGCGCAGGCCGGTGCCGTCAGATCTCAGGACAGTCGCCGTCTTCCTGGCCGCCTTCACTACTACCGTGACCTCTCTGTGTCCCCTCCTGCCTTGCAGTGCGGAAACAGGAAATTATAAAAGTGACAGAGCAGCTGATTGAAGCCATAAGCAATGGAGATTTTGAGTCTTACACGTGAGTCGGCTGGGCCCGTTCTGCATGTCCCACCCGGAGGGCCGCTCGGGGTGCTGAGTGGCCAGCTTGGGGGTCATTGACTCTGCCCGCGCTTCCCTTCTGCATGTGCTGTGAGCCAGACCGCAGTCACGTTTCCATTTTGCATTTGGACTTAACGCTTTCATGAAGCTTTCTGTTTACGGCACTTCTCTATACCTCTCCCGCCTCCACCTCACACCCTTTTGAAGGAATACCAACTGAACTCTTTTGCTCCCCCAAGGAGAGAGGAGGGGTCTCCATACAGCCTTCACCTCCTTGGGAGATGAGCTGGGGAAAGAGGGGAGGGAGGCGGGTCCTGCCCTCACCCGCGACCTCCTCACGTTCCTCAGGAGCCCACGGGGTGCGTGTGTGCCCCTGGTGAGCAGAAAGGCTCCTTATTCCCAGAATGGATCCTTCAGTCCTTCAGAACACAAAATTAACTTAAAATGAAGCAGGTGTTATGAGCCCTCCCACCCTCCTGGGCCAGCCCTTGGAGAGGCAGCTGTGGGCAAAGGCTGGGCTGGAGCGCCCCCTGGTGTTTTCCCACAGCCCTCTCGGCCTGGCCCTTGGCTGCCCTGGGGAGCACAAGGATTCAGGGCTGAGGACATCCTGGTTTCCACCAGGGCTGACCAGGCCTGGGCCTGGGGACACCACCTACACATTTTGGTGGACAGAGCTTGCCAACGAAGGCAACTAACCCTTGCCTGTTGCGTTAAGCGAGGTGGGAATAACCTGACTGTGGTTTGCTCCTTGGGCAGCCTATTCCTGGATTCCACTGCACCCAAAAGCTGGTGGGCAGGTCTCAGCAGCGGGTGGCAAAGTTCCGAAATTTACTGATTATCTCTGGAAGAACAGGATCTTGGAAGGGGCGTGTGTGAGCCTGAGGCTGCATGTACACGTGTGCATGCACTTGTCCAGGCATGTGCACATGTGTGATTGTGCACAGGTATGTGTGTACATGTGCACCTGAGTGTTGTACAAAGGCACATGGACACACTGTTAAATGGGTCTTGCAACCAGTCCCAGAAAGAGTTAAATCAGCCCAGGAAGAACCCAAGAATGGCTCTGGAGGAACACAGCCAGGGAGAGGGAAAAAGAGGTAGTCTCTGTGGACCCCAAGGTGCCCAATGCCATTCTGGGGCCTCTGAGGACTCTCCCACCTCTATGATGTCACGTCCTCTGGCATCTGCAGCCAACTCTAGAGTCTCACCCCTTGCTATGAACTCTGAGGTCCACGGTAATGAGTCTAGCCCTGTGAGTCCTGGACCAGCCCTTCATCTCACTGAGCCTCATTTCCCCCCGGGTGCAATGGAGTTGGTATCCAAGCCCTTTCACTCTAGGAGGCAGGGATCCCCAGATGCCTCTGGGAGAGGGTCTCCCCCAGTGGGGGTGCTCAGTCTCCCAGATCTCAGAGTAAGTCCCCTGCCTCTGCCTTCGAGGATTCTGGAGCCAGCAGAGATTTGAGCATCCCATATGATCTGAGCACAGCTCCCCCAGGCCCTGGAAGATCCTTCTGGAGAGCTTGAGGTCCTGAGTAGATAAGTGAGTCGTCTGCAGTCACATGAACAGGGCAGCAGGGCAGAGGGGGACAGAGTTCCCATACTGGCCATGGTGCCCCGCTCAGACATGCCGGCTTGACATCTGCCCTGTGTCTCCAGTTCCTATCTGGGTTCCTTTCATTTGTCCTGGGACACTTCCTGTCCATGGCTTCATGGTCATTATCACAGGGGTCCAGGTTGTACCACAGAAGATCTCAGAGACCCTGGGTGTGGAGGCAACCATGTTCTTCCCTCCCCCACCTGGCTATGAGGATCTCTCAGAAGACAGACCTTGAAGGGAGTCCTGAAGCAAAAATACAGAGCTGAGGTGCTCCTTGGCACACCCTATGCTCCTTCCCTCTGGGAATTACTTCAGAGAATGCTGATTTCAAAGGGGGAAACTGAGGCTCACTACTTACAATACGGCACCTTTGTTTAAATGAAGCCCTTCTCAGACTTGCTTGCTGGGCAGAAGTCCCTTTGATGTGAAGGAAAAGGGGCTCTTCGCCACCAAAAGGAAAGGCCACCTCTGGACCCACTGTCCTGGGTGCATTTTGGAGAGTAGTCACAGAATGAACCGGTCCTGCCAGCGCTCAGTGCCCATCCCCAGGCCACACGCTATGTCGGGGGGGGGGTGTCTCATAGCCAGTAAGAAGCAGAGCCGACACCAGACCCACACCTCCGGGTTCTGGATGGCACCAGCCAGTCTGCGATCCCCCACTTCTGCTAGTTAACAGCTTGCCAACCCTTTCCCACCCGCTCACACGTGAGCACAGTCACTCCCACTGGCAGGCTCACACTCCTGGGATCCCGGCCCCTGGAACTAGAGGGTGGCCTCTCTCAGTCCCTCTCTCCTCTGACTTTGTCCCCTCAGGAAGATGTGTGACCCTGGAATGACAGCCTTCGAGCCCGAGGCCCTGGGGAACTTGGTGGAGGGCCTGGACTTCCATCGATTCTATTTTGAAAACCGTGAGCAATCCCTTCTCTCTGGGTGCCTGTTGTCTGCTCTCGTTCTGTGACCTGCCAGATGGCACAGCAGGGTGACGGGCAGGGCCCCTGGGGCGGCTCAGGAGCCGGCGAAGAGGAAGAACCCAAGTGGACAGGGGTTGGTATCATCTTGGTCCTTCTCCTAACCCTGGTCCGCGTGTGGCTGAGGATGGGGCCGGGGGGCGTGGGGTGGTCCTGGAAACAGGGGAAGCCTGACAAGGCCTAGGGTTCTCCCTGCCTACCACTCTGGGAGGGGCCTGGGAAGCCTCAGTTCCTGTTTAACACATAGGGGGGCTTTCCCACTCGCTCACACACCTAAGCTGGATTCATGCTGACCACTGGGCCCCCTGGAGGCCCTGCTGGTTGTAAGCTGGTACATGGGTGGCTGTGCAGTGTCCTCTGTGGGTGGGTGTTATGGCAAGGGGAAGTCCAGGTCACACTGCTGTGCCCTGCCTGTGTGTCTAGGTCTCTGTCTCTGTCTGTCCTTCTGGGCCTCTCTGCAGGCGTCACCCTCAGCTTTGTCACCAGGAGCTGTTGGGGCTGGGGCCGGGCCTAACTGGGGTGCTTTCTGCCTGTTTCTGTGACTCACCTGGGTTGAGGCTCAGGCAGACATGAGCCAAAGCACGTGGAGGTTAGAGGTGTGATGAGCATTTAGGGAGGCCCCAAGAGGTGGCCCACCAGGGTTCCCCAAAGGGAAGAGCATGTGCCGCCGAGGGGGCTGCTGGTATGTTGGTTCCCCGTGAGAGAAAAACTAGGTTGGGTGTTAGCAGAGGGGCAACACTTAATAACTTGCCTCTTTATCAAAGAGACAGCAAGTCTCAGATTTGGCTCAGATTCAGCTCACATTTGGCAGGAACACGGAACTAGGACTGTAGAACTTTATTCCATTTTCCCGGAACTTACTATGAAACTTATATTCTGTGATATTGTTTGTTTATTAAAGATTATACATCGATTCAAGGAAATATTTTCATGAAGTAAGTACAGGTGGCATTTGTAGGAGGTAAAATATAAAGATGGTACTTAAGTGACTAAGTGTGATCCAGTTGAACTCACATGGTACAGAAGGGGAAACTGAGACCCAGAGAGGGGAAGTGATCTGTCCAAGGGACCCAGACAGTTGGCGGCAGGACCCAGTCCTGATTCACCCCAGTGTTCCTTCCCTGCCCCACGAACCCCTTGTCTGCATGTAAGCAGCCAGAGCGGGTTACCCTTCTTGTCTTGGACCCCACCAGACTGAATCTTACAGAGCACAGAGGCTCAAGAGCACCACCCTCCCCACACACACCAAAAGCTGTGAAGAAGGAAGTTGCATCTACCCCTTAATAATTCACACTCTAGCTCTCCAGGGTTATCAATGTAGATTGAATTCTCATATAGAGAGAAGTGGGGGACTTTCCCAATCCCCAGAGTCACCTTAATGATGGCCAAGTTCACCTGTGTGCTGTTCTGTGCCCAGGGGATGCTGGTTCCTCAGAGTGAACTCCCAACCCTCACAGGGCAGAGCAGAGACCAGGCTAAGAGCTGGCTCGAAAGGCACAGGGATGGCCAAAGGGGCATCAATAGGGAAAGAAGGCAGCTAACCTTGACCTGACCACAGGGTCCCCTGGACTCTGGCCTTAAACATCTGGTTACATCAAAGGATCCACAAGAGCAAGACTCCGAGTAACTGCTATTCTGGGCCAAGTCCCATCCTCCTATCCCTTGACCCTGAGGAGGACCTGCCTTTTTCCATCCTAGTTCTTGACCTAATCATGAGGATGGGGGTTAGACAACTGAGATCTATTAAGAGACACCACATTTGTAAGGGACACTTACAAATTTCCCTTAGGACGCCCCCCCCCCCCCGCCCACACACACACAACAGCAAGGCCCAGTGCCCTCAACAGTGCTAGGTGCTGTTTGTCCTTCTAGATTGTCCTCCCAGAGTCCTTCCTGGAGACTGACCCCTGCTAGCTTCCACTGCATTTCTTTCAGGAACAGGCCCAGGTTGGTTCAAGTCAGATTGCTTCTCTGGACCTCAGTTTCCAGATCTGTCAAATGGGTACATTAAACTAGATGTTCTTCCAGAGGCGTCCTGGCACTCTGTAGGACAATTGCTGGGTGACCTCTGACGTCTGAGGTCAGTCCCAAGCCTAGGATGCAAACACCTGACATGCTCTCTGTTCATGAGCTTTGAACGTAAAAGTCTGTTTGTCTACATATGAGACACTTGGGAATTTTGAGTCATTTGTACAAAGCCTGAGTGTAGTGCAATTATAATATCAGGAAACAGTACTATTATTTGCTTTCTGCTATCCTGAACAAGAAAAAAAAAGACAGTTCACGTTTTTTTTCAGGGAGTCAGTGACTCACAAACCTAGCTGGGCATCAGGGGGTGGGGATAAGGATGTTTTGGTTTTTTCCCCCCTAATATTACAGGTTCTTGAAGAGGCATCTCTAAGGGTGGGGCTCTCCGTGGGATTTGAACCTACTTGGGCTACCCTAAGGGAAGATAGAAGCTCCCCCTGTTGCTCAAGGTCTTGGTGATCCCTGACCAGCCCCTCCCTGGGTCATTGTCTCTCTGTGCTTTTGTTTTCTATCTTGCTGAAAAAAAGGGAGAGTTCCCAGAACCAAGTAATAATAATTAATAAGAAGAAGAGTGACACGTTTCACACAGCGGGCGCTGGTTTCAGGTACTTTTGTCAGCTTTGTCATGACTACAAGAGCTATGTGTTTCCCTCTAACTGTGGAAAGCTCTATGGCTTCTCCCCAAGGCCACCAATACCATCACATCCTGTCAAGGTTCTAAGATCCTATGATTTTAATATTCCCCACATTTCCCTGATTCTGTGTATCTATGATGAAAGTGGCAAATGAGGGGCCCATGGGCCATATCTGGACTCTAGATAGGTTTTGTGTGGCATGCTTAAAGTTTAACTTTTCAACTAGCTACCAATTATTAAAAATGGAGTTTTCACCTGAAAGTCTAGATTTCCAGATTCTCTTGAAAAATCAGAAGGTGCGGCCATAGGAGTGTGACTCACATAGCAACCACGAGGGAAGTTGTGTTACAGGGTGCTCTCAGTAGATGGATCATGGCGTATTCTTAACCATAATCTCCACCACTCCCTATTGCATCTCTGATCCAGAGACAAAGGGCCAGTTGTCAGTTGGCATCTTGTTCTCAGCTTAGCCCTCTTGTTTATGGAGTGATGTAGTCTAGGCTCATCTAATTCTACAAATGGCTTCTATCTATACTTCTATGTGCCTGAGATAATATGATTATAAAAATCCCATTCCCTTGCCCTTGAAGTATTTGGTGAGTCTGAAGTCCATTGTATCTAAGCTAGGATATGATCTAGTCACCTAGAAGTTCTGCCCTAAATCCTGGGTAGCTAAGTCCTGTCACAGAGACCCTCTCCCCTGGCCATGAGGCAGGCAGAGGTGCCTCCACTGAGAATCGCTGGGAGTTGGGGAAGAGAAGGAAGTGAGGCCCAAAGGCCCTCTGTTTCATCTCCTCTGCCCCTCCCATCCCCACCTCCAGTGTGGTCCCGGAACAGCAAACCGGTACATACCACCATCCTGAATCCCCACATCCATCTGATGGGTGACGAGTCGGCCTGTATTGCCTACATCCGCATCACACAGTACCTGGACGCAGGCGGCATCCCCCGCACGGCCCAATCGGAGGAGACCCGTGTCTGGCATCGCCGGGACGGCAAATGGCAGATCGTCCACTTTCACAGATCTGGGGCGCCCTCTGTTCTGCCCCAGTAAGAACTCCTCCTTTCTCCCTCCTGTCATTTAGGATCACCTAAAGGAATGGGGTGGTGTGGGCCTGTGTTGGGGGGATGTGTTGGGGAACCTGGCTGCTGAAATGCCTTGGGGCACAGGCAGCAGACCCACAGGAAGGAGACCAGGCCTGTGGGTCCAGGGAAGAGCTAGGAAGACCCATGAGAGGTAGCTGGACGTCACTTCAGGAGGTGGGGGGTGGGAAAGACACCCTCGAAGTACCATCTCCATTGTGTCTTGCAGTTGAAGGACCAGGCCGGGGGCGCTGCACCACAGAGATGTGCTTTTTGTCTGAAGAATGTGGCGGCTGGTTCTCCCCTTTGGATTGTGCTGGAATCCCCCATCCGTCACCTCATCACCACCACTGTCATCTCCATACTTGCGTCAAGAAGACCTGCCTGTTGGCAAAAGCCATCACCACTTCACAGCAAAGGGTCAGGTCTCCCTGCCCCTCACTGCTCACTCTCTATCTCTGCCTCCCCCCAGGAAGGGACTCCCTTAGATATGAGAGTCCTGGGCGCTGGCCCCTGGGGTCCCCACCCAACTGTCATTCTGGTTCCGCCTTGGGGGAGGCTAGAATGCCCCACTGTGTGGTCCAGGGCCAGGGAGGAGGAGCAGGATTGTGGAGAGGGATGTGGCATCTGCCCATCCCTCTCCCTAACTCCCCCTCTTCCATGGTCCCCCCAGATGAAGCCCCAACCCCCGAGCCTTTCCCCTATAGGAGAAGGCATGAGGGGAACAGACCCAGCAGTCTCCTGCCTCAAATTGCCTCCCTAATTCTTCTCTTCTCCGTCTGGTCCTGCCCTCCTTCGGGTCTCCCCTTGACCCTTCTCCCTCAGTGTGGGGGGGCGCGATCCTCTCAGGGTGCCCCCACTTCTCTCCTTCCTCCTTCTGCTGATGTTCACCTCCACACTAACTGCTCATTCCACCTGCTGTCAGGCCTGGAGAATTCCAGCTTCATCACGTCTGAGGGAGAGAATTGGATTGTTTTGGGGGGCAAAAGAAAGCAACATTTAGGTATCACTTCTACTTGGACCGCATGCCTTTTTATAGCCAAACTTCTGTGTATTTCGTAAATGGATTTTGCGTTAATGGATATTTCTGTAATAACTAAACCTCTCGAATTATTGTGAGGAGGGGGGGCTGGGTTGGAAGGGGAGGTGGGGAGAGGGGTGAGGGGTAGTTTTTTTTCTGTTCTATCTAGGTCCTTTTTTTAAAATGTCATCTCTGAGATGGACGTTGTCACCTGTGGTTCTCCGGGGCCGAGGCTCCGGACTCAGCTCCCAGGGAAGGGCCTCGCTGACCTTTTGGTCCTGAGCTTCCATTTGGAACTGCAGAAGCATCAGGTGTCAGGGCTGAGAGCAAATCGGGGCAGAGAGAGTGAGGGAGGCATTCGGGTGGGGGACATCTGGACTTTGCTCGCCTCCCAAACTACCACGCTTCCCAGGATTTCTTCCCATCACCTCTGTGTGTCCCCCCATGTCCCCACCTGTCTTTGGGGGTTCACGAGCACGTGTCTTCATTGCTGCTCCCCTGGGCGTCTGCTGGCCCAGGCGGGGCCCGGGGAGCTCTCTTCACTCGTCCTGCAGCCGAGGGTCCACATCTCTCTCTTTCCTCTCCCGCCTGGGACTGACTCTGATGTGGAATGCCTGGGCACGCCCACTAGGATCTACTATCTGCACTGTTTTCTTTGCATGACTTTATATGCAGTAAGTATGTTGAAAAAAAAGAAAAGAAAAAACACTCAACAAAACCAATCTACATGTTTTGGACAAAAAAATAGAGGTTGTATTCTCAGTGTCCGACTCGGAATTATGTTGCTGCCTCTCTGTGCTTTTGGCCTCTGTGTGGCCGTGTTTTGCCAGCATGAGATACTGTCCCCTCTGGAGGATTTTAGGGGAGCAAGAGCCACATCCCCAGAGATTTGGAGGAGGCGCTGGATCCCCCAACCTCTGGGGGGTCCTGGGTGTTGGTTGGAGCAGGACTGGTGGGGATATCTGAGCGGGAACTTTCTGAGATCCCCCATCACAGCTGTCAGCAAGGCCTCTTTTCAGCTGCTTCTGCCCGGGGACCGGAATAGGCAGGGCGGGAGCTGCCAGCCAGGAGAGAGATGCCAGTTTCCTGGTTTCTAAACTGGTTATCACTGGCCTTCAGCCTTGGCAGAGCCTCAGCTTCCAAGCCCAGAGGCAGGCATTTGGCCTGCCTGAGGCCCAGCAGGCTCCCAATAAGGCCTGGGTACCCTGTGTCCCAGCAACAAAACTACCTGCCTCCCCATGAGATGCCAGCTCCCTACAGCCATCTGGGGCCCAAAGGTGAGGGTCTGGCCTTCATCAGGGATAGGGCAACTACAGGTCTGGTCCTCTCTCCAGCCTCAGTTTCTCCCCTGGGGCCCACCTCCTGCCCCAATGTTCCTGTCTGGCCTATGCTGCCAGATGGCTAGGGCATCCAGCAGGATGGTGAGGGGAAGCCCGATTCACCTGTGAGGATGAACAGGTTTGTCACTGGCTGGACTCCTGTCCTTCTCCCCACCTGCCCATCATTTCCCTCTTTGGTGCCTGTCAGCTGCTTATCAGCAGTGACCATGGGGAAAGAGCCAGGGCTTGGGGGTCAGCAGGATCCCATTCCCAGCTCCAACCAGACTAGCTGTGTGACCCCAGGGAAGTCCCTTCCCCTCTCTGGCCCTCAGTTTCCCCCTGGAGGAAACTGAGCTGAGGGACCCCAATGTCCTGCCTTTCATTGGCTGGCACAACTCCCGCCCACTGTGTCCCTCTCCAAGTGCCAGAGAAGTGGTGGCGGGTCTCCACCCCAGGCTGACATGGCCTCCTTGTGAAGGCCGCGCCTGTGGGTGGGCAGTTAGCCAGTGTGAGCTACAGGGCACCGGTGCCATTCCGAGGCAGCAGGCAGGGTTGATGCAGGAAGGGTGATCCAAAGCCCACCGCCTCCACGTCAAACTGCCCTCCTCCAAAACATCCTGTAGATGCAAAAAAAAAAAAAAAGAAAAGAAAAAATCCAGACCTAACATAAAACCTAGGCTCCAGAAGGCAAATACATTTACAGCAAAGTATTTCCCGGGGTTTGTACCCGGCCCAGCGCTGATCCTGACCCACAGCCTCCTGTCTCCTTCAAGGGGAGACCCTTTGGGGGATGTGTTTGCCAGACTCCCCGTGCTGGTTTCTTTGTCACTATTTGTTTGGGGTTTTGTTTCAGTTTTTTCTTTTCTTTTCTTTTTTTAATATGTGGCTGTGAACCTGAATGACCACTGCTCAAACTTTCTGCTATGGGGGGAGGGAGGGAAGGGACGTCTGTTTTATTCTTGGTGTTTTCAGTGCAATAAATAGCTACAAACTTCTGTGCACTGCCTGTCTCCTTGTCTTGGTTGAGCAGAGGTGCTGGGAGGTTATTGTTCCCGTTCTAGAGCTTACAAAATATAAGCCCCAATCATTTTGAATGGACCAACAAGGGTCTCATGTTCAGGGCTAAGCCAATCAATGTAGGATTATGCCTGCACCCCATCACCCCAGTCCCACTCATAGAGTCAGGGAAGAAGCTGGTTCCTGTCTGGTCCATGGCGTGCCCTTAAAAGGAGCACAGAGTGGTGTTAACAGCAGAGACTCCTCAGGGGCATAGGGCAAGGCTTGTTGCCAGGCCTCAGTTTCCCCTTGTATAATGGGGAGGATGTTCCAGAAACCCCTGCCACCCCTTTTCTTCCCTCAGCCCAACCTCACCTGACAACCACAGGCCTCAGAGTCCTGGAGGATGGTTTTAGAAAAGGGTGAAATGGAAGAAAGGGTCTCTACCCACAAATCAGCCTGGACTAAGTGCCTGGGGCAGGGCCCTTGGGGCTGGAGAGAGGAATGGCAGGAGAGGTTCCACTGGCCAAACAGAAGCCACTACAGTTTAGAGCCAGTTGGGTTCCCTGAAGTGGTGGTGAAGTAGAAACTTTGGCCTTGCTCAGGCCATGACATACCTAGTTTGGTGACTTTTAGTGCTAAACCCGGGACAGTCCCAGGCAAAGCAGAAGTGGCTACCCAGGAGACTGGGATTCCATGGAGTCAAGGGGATATGACTCCAGAAGTTCACAGTCCCCTCTAGACCATGCTCTGGTATTCAGACTCCAGAATACCTGCACCAGCCACTTTCAGGGTCTATCCTTGCTGCTAGGGGGTCAAGGACTGTGTCTTTGGGGCATGTGCCCTTTGTGCACACGAGGACCCTCACATCGAGAGCAGAGGTCAGGGCTGCGAAGGGCGAGGGGCAGGTCTCAGAGGGACCTGGGTGCTCCCAGTTTCGTTCTAGCTCTGGAACCTACCAATGTCAGCCTCAGCACCAGGTCTGTTCCCAGTTGCCCCTCCAGCTTTGTATGCCCGACATGGGAGTCCCAAGGGCTTGAGGGCTTGGGTGCCATTTCAGATGAAGACCAGCAGGTGGCAGCACGAGCCCAGGTTACAGAAGGTCAGGGTCCCGCCTGCCTGGGCCTTCCAGGGCACCTCCAGGGGCCTTTAGCAGTTAGAAAGTGCCAGCTACACTCAACACATTATTATTATCTCCTCACAGGAGTGTGGCTCTTTATAGTTTACAAAGTGCCTTCACACCTCATGTGCCAGCTCAACAACTCATTCCCACAATGTGGATGATGAGACTCAGAGGTAGAGGCTTGGTGCCAGCATCCGGGACTCACCGCCTTCTGACCAGCGCACAGAGCTTCCTGTTTGGGCCTTCCTGAGTCTCCCTATCTCTGGATGGCCTGAGAAGAGTGGCTGGCATTCTGACGAAAGCATCTCTTCGGTCCTTTTTGCCTTCTAGCTGCTGACACCTTCTAGTTGCAGACATCAGTCTCCATCACCTTATTGCCCATTTACTCCAGACCCAGCCACAGGGAGCAGAATCCCCCTCATTCTTTTGCTCAGCATATGGCAGCCCCTCCTCACCTTTCTGGTATCTTCTCCAGAAAGTCTTCCAGACTCCCAACTTACAAGTCCCCTCTACTGTCATCCACACCCTCTACCTGCCTATGTGAAGTTGCCCAGGTGAGTGTCTATGAAGCTGTTTTCCTTGGAGGCAGGTAGCACCCTGTCCATACTTGGGGGTGTATATTTTGTCACTCTGCATGGAACAGACCCTATATGTGTGTGCTGCTAGAATGCAGAGCTCAAGCAGGGCACCTACTACTGCACTGGCGACACCCCCTTAACCCAGGGACCAGGCACAGCAACCGAGTCATATGTGTTCTCACGGTCCTCATTCACCCGTACATTGGGCACCACTGTCTTTTTCATTCTAAGAACAAGGAGATTGGTGCGAGGTTGAGGGACCACCCCAGGTGGCCCAGACGGCAGGAGGGAGGCAGAATTCAGATGCCCCAAAGGGCTGCTGGGACTGCCTGCAGCCAGGCTGTGCTCCCAGGAGGCCCAGAGATGAGTGTGCCCTATCTTTTGTCCCCAGGGATCTCTGATGCCACCCCAGGGAGTGATAGACCTACAGAGACCCCAACTCAGGACAGGCTGGACCTGGAGGTGCAAAGTGTGAGGGGGTCAAAAAGAGGAGGAGAACATGAGGAGGGGCTCAGGGTTCTGGGGAGCCTTTGTACAGGAACCTGGAGGGCTGAGATGAGGAGGGAAATGCATGGGGAGCAGGGGTGGGGAGGTGGGTCAGATAGGGCTGGGAGAAGAGGCTGGAAAGGCAGCAAGGAGCAGCAGAGGGCCAAGCGTGCTCTGAGTCATCTATGCAGTTGGTGTGACTTTCTGGGGACAGGGGTCCACAGCCATGGAAGTAGCCTTCCCCAGTGGCTCTAGTAAAACTTTTAGGAAACATCCCCAGCAGGTGCTGGAGTGTTTGCCCAGGGCAGGACAGGGCCAGTTCAGTCCCCTGGGAACCAACCCTTTTCCTAGTCCTGGGGAAGCCCCCAGGGCCTCAGAGGTCACTTCCCCTTGGCAGCCTGGTCCAGCCATGCCTTCCTGGGCCCTGGATCCTGCCAGAGGCGGGGGGACTAGCATCTTTCTTCCCCCAAGAAAAAGGGGGACTAGCCTCATTGTCCCCTAGGTGACCTTGGGTGAGTCACTTCCCCTCTCTGAGCCTCAGTTTCCTCATTATTATAATGACAAGATTGAACCTATGGTCCCCAAGTATGGGAACGGGCTGAGCTGCAGCAGAATCACCAGGGAGTTTGCTAAAAGTCCAGATGTTTCAGGCCCCACCCTCAGAGAACAGGACACGTTAGGGCTGGGCAGGGCTCCAAGCAGCTGTAGTTTTAGGAAGTACCAGCACCCCTTCCCCAGTTCCCACAGCCTCACCGGGAGCTGGAAGGTCCCATTATGGGCCAGCCCCACCCAGCTTCCCTGCTGCTTCTCCATCGGCTTCCCTGACTCAGCTAGATCAATATTGACCATAGCCTCTCCCAGGCCCCCAATACCCACCATCCCCTGCCTTGCAATTCTCTGGGGCCCTGACCCCAGGTCAGCAGAGTCAAGGTCAAAGCAAGCTTGGGGCCTAGAGGGTTTTCCTGTGCCCCACCCTCACCTTGCATTCTGGTTTGGCAGCGCACCCTGGCTTCCTGGAGAAGCCATCAAAGTTGTGGGTCACTCATTCTGTCTTGCAAGAGGAAACTTCCCTTTCCACCAAGCGCAGTCAACCCCTGAACCTGGCTCCAAAGAAGCAGAGGCGACTCCCCTCTGCAGCTTTCCATGGCAGGGACCCTCTCAGTGGCTGAATTGAGTGAGGAGGGCAGAACTCCCCTCTGTCCCCTGAGGAGCCCGGCTCCCCGCAACCCTCTGCCCATCACCCTTCTCTCTGGGCTGGCTGGAAGCAGAAGCTGGGTCTTAATTTCTCAGCCTGTGCAAGGGACAGCGCCAATGAGAACCACCCCACCTAGGGTGGGGGGGCCTCTCTCATTTAATCTCCTGAGAGAGGAAAATGATTCTCCCCATTTCTCATCTGAGGACCCTGGGGTTCAGAGAAGTGCAGCAGCAGATTTGGCTGGGTTGCAGGGCCCACAGCAACGGGGCTAAGATTGGGGTCCGACCAGCAGATGGCCAAGCCCCGGGCTCCCCTCCACTGCCATTCCCAAAGGGATGCAGCTTGCAGACCTGTGGGCTTTAACAGGAAGAGGCTTTCTTTCACCCAAATAAAAAGTGATCTTGGATGGGGGTTCTGGGAGGAAGACTGTGTGGCTGGGGGTGGGGCGGGGGGCTGGTCCATCTGTCCTGGGGGAGAAGGTCAGGCAGCAGGAAGTCAGCTGGACGGAGCAGGCGGTGCCGGTCAAGGATCTGCTGAGGACAGGCGCCCTTCCAGGGCAAGACAGCATCAGTGAGGCCTCAGGCCCCCCAGGGAACAGTCCACAGAGCCAAGCTTGCCATGAGCCACCAGCAAAAAATGAGTCTGGAGGAAAGTCCACCGCAAACAGAGGCCAAGCATTAACTCTTTGCTGACTGGACTCAGAGCCAAGTGCATCCAGTTCGGTGCCCTGCTGGGCAAGGCTATGGCTGGCATGGGGACCATGAGGCTGAGGGGAGGTTGGGGAGAGGTGGGAAGGAGCCTGGGTCTGGCTGGCAAGCATCCCAAGGCACCCTGTAGCATCCACAAACTACTGCATCCTGCTGCCTTCCTTGGGGTTGCCACATAAGAGCCCTAACTGCTCAGACATGAAATGTGTTATCTCAAGAGGCCAGAATTGCCTGTGCTGACTGGACTGGGCTGTCAGGGCTCAGGGGGTGCAAGGCAAAGCCAGCCCCCTAGACTAGGGGCCCACACATTGTAGGGGAAGAGAAGACATATGGAGGGGAGACCTAAAAAGATGGACAGGACTTCAGTGGGGACATGAGGAACACTCTGGACCAGAGAGACTGCACCCGATCCCATGGACAAGATAAACTTGTCTGCGGTGGAGGAGGGGGTCAGGGAGGCAGGGCCTTCTGAAGATCAATACCAAGGTAGCCAGTATGACCTCTGGTGTTGTTGACCTTCCCTTGACCTTGGGAATGGCTGGCCCTAATGGTGTGGTGCGGCGGCCCAGCCCTCATCTGCTCTCCCTGACCCTAGGCTGCAAGTGACTATGCTCCCCACCTCAGCAATTCTCTGCCAAGTCCCAGAATAGTCAGGTGGGTCCTGGGCACCATGCATCACACTCCCGCCAGGCACGTCTGTCACCTTCTTGGGTCTCCCACTAACCTCCCAAGGTCAGGGGTCTATGCCTGAGAAAGGAAGCAGAGTATAGGGGTAGGGATGGGGCCGGGCAGCAGGGGCTGGCCTCAGTTTCGGTGCATTCTCACAAGGGACCTGCCCCTCTTGTTGCTAATCCCCTAAATGTGCAAAGCAATGGACAAGAGGAAGGCCCTAACTGAACCATGCTATTTTACATCTTATGAGTCAGCTGTTCACATTTAAAAATGGAAACTTTCCCATAAAAATCCAGACTTTCAACTCCTCTTTAAAAGTAGGGATATCTGTTAACCTGGTTCACACTTCTAAGGGGTCATCTCCCCCTTAACAGAGGGAGTTCTCTTCTATGGCTCACCACAATCCCCACCACTCCCTCTTGCCTCTCCAACTCTCTTTCAAGGTCAGTTGCCACTTATTCTCTGTCTCTATTCAAAGATTTGCTCTCCCAGGTAGGCACTTGGGTTTGCCCTCTTAGGACATTCCAGGATTGCAGACAGGGCTAATGTTTCTTTTGAGGTGCTTACTGTGTAGTTCTGGTTCCTGCAGTTAGGGCTCCCTGGTACCCAATCAGCTCCATGGCAGTGGGGGCCTGGCTGGCATTTCTTCTGAGGAGGGAGATGGAGAGGGAGAGGGCACTTGGGAGATGGCACAGGCAGCAGAGGGAGAAGGGTGGTGTGGCAGGAAAGGCTGTCTGGGAGCAGGGGAAATGAGGGAAGCGGGCAGACTGGAAGGCTGGGTCAGTGTGGCCTGTCCTGGAACTGCAGGACCCGTGGTAGGGAGTTGAGCAGGGGGAGGGGAGGCTGATGGGTTGCCAATCCTAGGATACTTCAATCCTGGCTCCCAAGAGGCCAGGCAGCAGCAGAGGCTGGGTGAGGAATGCACACAAGCTAGTGGCTGCTAGGGTCTGTCCTAGAGCCAGCAGGTAGAGTGCAGAGAGCACCTCTTCCAGAGCAGAGGCACGTGGGCTGGGGTCCCTGAGAAGGCTCTGTTAGCCGGCTGGAGCATGCCCCAGGATATGGGGAAGCACCTTAAATTGCCAAGATCATCCTTTCATCCTCCACATGTTAGCAAACCCATCTCTCTTCCCTGAGCTCAAGGCCAAACAAAGGACAAGAGAGGGCCTGGCCCTTAGGGGAACTTTATTAATATCCAAAATATGCAGAGGTCCTGCCTTCTACCCTGAATCAAAGACTTTGCAAATACCCGGCCTGGAATTTGAAAGGCCCTGCCCTCTTTGATAAGGCAAGGTCCTGCCAGGAGGGGGTGGGGGAACCAGAAATCTTTCCAGCCTGAGAACTCCCAGCCCTGATCTTCCAGCTCCAGCTTCTCGCAGCAGGTCGGTGGGGAAGGAAGGGAGGGCGTCCCTGTGCCTGGTTTGTCACTGGCTCCACCTGCCTCGGCCGGGTCACCCAGAGCAGGTCTCTTCCCGTGGTGGACCTCAGTTGGTCCAGATGAACAAGAGGGGACGAAGCGGCCCAGTGCCATGGAGGAATGTCAGGGCAAAAAGAGTCAGAGACCAGAAAGGAGGCTCCATTCCCACATGTGCCCAACGAGAGCCAGCACGCCCTGTGCTACCCACCTTAGGGCACTCGGCGGCAGGAGACAGGCAAGGAGGGTGATCACACTGGTGTTTATTAACAGTAAACTAACAGGACACAGATGGGTTGGGGAGACACCAGGAGAGAGACAGAGACCTGGGGACGCATGTGCAAGAAATCGTGCAGCTGTTCACAACCCCTGCTCTCAGGAAAGCAGGGCCCCAGGGCGGGCCCTCTGGTGTCCATGCCCAAGAACAGAAGGCCCAGGGCTCTGGCCACAGGCCGGGGTATCAGCTGACCCTGCACTCTGCCTCTGTCCCATGCCCACCTCCAAGGGCCCACATCCAGGAGCAGAGTGGCAGCATCAGGACCAGACAGTCACGCGGATGGGCCACCTCCCAGTCACTCAGTGTCCTGGTCACCCACTGCCAATTTCCCAGCAGTGGCTGGAGCTAGAGGGCATGGGGAGGGCCACCAGGATGGGAGAGAAGGGAAGAGAGGGGGCCCTGAGGCCTGTTTCCCCTGGTTCCTATCTCTGCAGCTGGCGTGGGTCTGGCTTCCTCTCATGTCTGAATTGTGCCCCGGGCTCCCTGCACTAGGGAGTACGGGGTTCAGTGAGGGAAACTGTGGGCCTTTCTCAGAAGTGGGGAGTCCTCCTATCTTTCCCTACCCCAACCCTAGCTCAGGGTTCCTCTTGCCCATTTCTGCAGGTCTCCCACCTCCACCCTGCACCCGGCACTGACCCAGAATATATTCTACCTACAGCCTAACCAGATCATGCAAACCCTCTGCCCACCCCACCATCCCTGGACGCCTGTCCTGGCCAGTTTTCATCCCCATGTGACCCCATTGTCAACTGGTCACACCCATGTCTAGCACCACACTCCCTGCCCCTGCGCCTTAGTCTGTGCTCCAGGGGAAGAGCAGGGGCCAGCAGTCTGACCTCCACCTCTGGGCTGGGTCAGCTCCTCACCAAGGCCGTCTCCCCCCTTCCTCTCTCTCTGAACTTCTAGGGCCCTCAGTCCCACCTCCTTCAGGAAGCCTGGAGGTCACCCTGGCATGTGACCCACAGGGATCCTTCTTCCACTCGACTTGCTAAAAGCTCGATGGCAGGGCTTTGTGATGCCCAGTCTCCCCGCTATCTCTGGTTATGTTGAAGTGAGTGGAGCAGGCTCCCCAGAGAAGGGGCTAGGCCCTAATCAAAGATGCAGGGTGGTACCTGTGGCCACATGAGAAAGGAAGCTAGCTGGTCAGGAGGCCTGGCCATGTGACCTTGGCCAAGTCCCTCCTCCCTGGCCTCAGTTTGTCCATCTGCAAAAGTGGAGGCTGAGCTGGACCATCCTCAGCTTTGAATGGGAGTGTGTGTGGGTGCATGTGTGCATGTATGTGGGTGTGCATGTGTGTGTGTGTGTGTGTGTGTGTGTGTGTGTGTGTAGGGACAGACAAGTTTCAGGAGAGGCAGAGGCCACGAGGAGGGATTTGCACTGGGGGACCAGCATCAGCTTGGCAACCTCCCACAGCCTCGGACCTCTCAGAACCCAGGGGCACAGCTGCCCTCTGTGGCCAGGGCCTCCTGCCCACCTGCCTCCTGCCTCACATCATAGATTCTTCCTCCTCGGCAATCTCTCGGTCCACCTCGATGGCAGTGTTCTCAAAGCTGGTGATGCCCCCATATTTGCGCATGTGCACCATCAGCGGTTTGGGTGACTGGCTTCCAGCCAGGGTGGCCACATACATGCCTGTCCGGTTCTCCTCCAGCGATGGGCCCCAGTCCATGGCCGGCCGGCTGGCCTGCTGGAGTCGCTGCAGCAGAGCAAGGATAGTGGTAAAAAGGGCCAGCTCTCAGGGACTGCTCCCCAGGGTCAGGCACCCGGCAAAGACCCCATCACACCACCTGATTAGTCCTGGAACACACTAGGGAGAGTCAATATCATTCTAGTATTTCCCCAGGGAGTCACGCCATACCCAGGGGAAAACCCTGCTATGCCCCTTACAAGTGGGGTGACCTTTGGGCAAAGAACATAAGTTCTGCTTCCTTCTCTGTCACGTGGGAATCATGGCCTCCCCCCCAAAGGGTAGTTTGAGGTCTGATGTGCAAGGCCCAGGGCTTGGTCAGGCTCCACATTCAAACATGGTGCACTATGGAAACGTACCTGGAGCATGCTGTCCACCTGCCATTGGCAGTGCTCTCGCGGAGGGGATCCCCACCACACCCACCACAGTCTCTGTGTCCCAGCCCTGCTCCTCTCAGTGATGGTGGCTCTGCCACTCTCCTGCCAGCCCCTCTTGTGTCGACTTCCTTGCTGTTCCCTAACATGGCAGCCTCCCTTGCCTCAGGGCCTTTGCACAGATGCCCTTCTGCTTGGATGCAACTCAGGTCACCTCATCAATTTGGTCAGGTCTCTGTCACCTCCCCAGAGAGGTCTCCCCCTTACCACCCTGGCCAGACACTTACCTTCCATGTCTCTCTATTCCTTTGTTTTGCTTTAAGTATAGTACTAACCACCACCTACACTGTCTCTCTGTTCATTGTTGCCCTCGTTAAAACACAAGCTCCCAAGAGCAAGGACTTCCAGCTGAATGTCAATGCAGAGACCGAGGTTTCTAGCATGAGCATTGTTGACAGCTTTATCTGGGGGATTCTCCGAGTGGGGCTCACCCCTGGGTACGTGGGGAGGTTTGCCCACCATTGTACTCCCCCACACCTGTATCCTCTTGTGACCATCAGAATTATCTCCAGACACTGAAGAATGTGCCCTGGGATAAAATCACCAGGGAGAAGCCCTAGCTGGGGACCAAAAGTGCTCACGGTGTCTCAGGCTGTACCAGTGTGGGCTTCTCTAGTCGTTAGTCTCCCTACAAGACAGTATCTGAAAGCGATGTTCAGAGAGGCTCACTGAGCTGGCCAGGGTCACACAGGTGGAAAGTGGCGGCGCTGGGGCTTGAACCTGGGCCGTCTGACCCTATCTCAACTTTTGCAACCTCTGACTTTCTGGACTGACGACATTGAGAAGCTGCTTTCTTCTCCCCCTGTGTTATGTCCCTGCCCTCATGCTAATGACAGCACCCAGGCTCAGAGGGGCACATTAACTTGCTGAGGTCATGCAGCTGCCAGATGGCCGACCTGAGGTTCCAACACCAGCGTCAGCGGTGGAAGCCCTGGTCTGTGAGGGAGCATCCCTGAGCTGGGGATGGTCCTCTGCAGTGCCCAACACCTCCAACAACATGCCCCTCTCCCTGCTGTGGGTGCAGTGGCAGGCAGGAGGGAGGCAGGGCAAGGCTGGAGAACCAGGAGATTCTGGGAAGCTAGCAGCGCCCCTCCTTCTGCCTTGGGCAGACACCCTGCTCTCCAGCACAGAGACAAATGGGGCTCCTGAAGGGCAGAGAAGGGAAGGGCTTGCCCCAGGTCACGCTGCAGTTGAAGGACGGGATTCCAGGACTCCCATGCGATCTGGGCTGTGTGGTCACAACCCACTTCTGCCAGGGAAGGGCTCTAGCCTCTCTCCAAGTGGAGACATGGACATGAGATGAAGGGTAACCAAGGGGAGGGGCGGCTACAGCATGCTAGATGAGGGGTGCCTGTGCCAAGGTCTGATTTGTACCCAGCTTCAGGGATGTGAATATCCCCAATGGTGTCAATTTCAAGCTGGCCACAAGGTTGTTGAATATTTAACAATAAGCTCTTGTGAAAAAGCCTTGCTGGCTCTGCACACTTCCTATGCACATGGGGGTGAGTGGTGGGGGTGGGTGGGGGTGGGTAACTCAGCCTCAGTCTCTCTCCTGACCCTAGCAGGCTCACTCAGCTCCATCTCATCAGGGGAGGGCCCCGCTCAAGGTCACACAGCATCACTGCTCATCCAAGGTCCTGCAGTCAGTACTTCCCTCTTCTAAGGCCTGAGGTGCGTGCCTGCACCACACAGCGTGTACCCTTTGTGCCGCTGGAAAGGCTCACACCTTCACCCCATGCCCAAGTCACTTTGGTGGGCTGCACCAAGGCTTCTGGGCTCAGAAAGAGGGTGACAGCCCACTCTAAGGAAGCTAGGGACCCATTTCAAGCCCCAACACTCACCTGACTCACCATGGGCAAGACCCTTGTCCTCTCAGGTTTCCCCAAGACATGTGGGCACTGGCCCCCATGAGTGGTCTTTTGACTGTGCCACCTTCCCTCCACGGGCCATAGGGGCTTGGGGGCACGGGGCAGGACTCTAGCCCGATCTTGTCAAGCGGGTCTGAGCTGGATCATAGCTCAGGTGCTGGTTAGAAAAACTGCAGAATGGGGTAAAAGATGCCTGCAGGGTCCCAGATGAGGCCTTGGTGCAGATGGGCCCCAGCCAGGGGACTCAGGGTGGGGCCATGGTCAGGAAGCTTGGGGTAGATGGGCTGGGGCAGACTCACCTCCCACAGCGAGCCCTCCTCTCGAAGCACAGCCACCAGCATGCCGGCCGGAATCATGAGGCAGGACAGCAGGCCCATGAGGATGCCCAGCAGCTCTGCCCAGGCTGGGAAGCGGTAGCTGCCATACTCAGAGGGCTGGTACTTGACGATGCTATACACCAGCAGGGCCTGCGGGTGGGGCTCCCAGGTCACAGAGGGCCTCGACTGGCCGGGCTTGGGAGACCCCAGGTCTGAGCGACTGTCAGACTGGGATAGACCAGCCCAATGCCATCCCCAGAGCTGAGAAAGACCGCTGCCCAATTCTGGATGGCCCAATTCTAACTTACACCGAACCTGAAAGGGTCACCTTTGCAACTTGGCCTTGCTCGAGCTAGTCCTGCTCTGAGTTGACCCGATGCTGACCCTATAGCCTAGCTTGGAAGCACCCTAATTCCTGAAATGGTCTATCCTTGAGAGGGGTCCCCCCAAGGTTGGGAAAGCACAGCCTCAAAGCCCCAGCCCTGAGGCCCAGAGACCTGAGTAAAGCCCCATTCATTTTGCCAACCAAATACTGGGCTAGGTCCAGCACAACCACAACATCTGGGGGCATCAGCAGAGGGGAGAACAGCATCCTGGTGCCCACCCCCGCTTCCACCCCCGACAGCGGTCCCTCTGGGCTAGGGCTGCCAGACCGAATGCCCAGAGGAGCCCTGCCCTCAGCAGCAGCCCTCCCCCCGCCACTGACCAGCAGCGTGGCCGGGGACAGGAACAGCCAGCAAGCCCTGAAGTAGAGGCCTGGCTTGAATCCCAGCATCATGTGGATATCTCTGCAGAACCTCTGGATGCCTGCGCGGGAAGGGGACGAGGCTGATCCACCAGCGGGCCCCACAAGTGCCAGCAGCCCCCAGCCCACCCGTTTGCCCCCACTGGAAACCCCAGCCCTTGGGATCAGGGACGCAGTGCAGGGGCCCCACTCTCCACTCTCACTCTCCACTCCCACTCTCCGCTGTGTGGAGCCTCAACTCTGCCCCCCACAGCCCTGCTCACCATACACCCGGGTGACGGCGAGGCATGTGGTGATCACCACCACCATGAGCCCGAAGCTGGCGCTGTAGTCATCCAAAAGGACCAGCCAATACATGCCCCCCTGGAACACAAGTCACAACTCTGGGGTCCACTTGCCCAAGCCTCACTCCCTGCCACTGCTCCTTCTCCAGGTAGGAAGTGAGCAGGAAGCAGCCAGGCTGGGGGGCGGGGGGCAAGATGAGGACATCTTTCCTTTGAATGTCTGCTTCCATCTCAGGGAACCCTAGGGGCAGGCTCCCTACCGATGGCAGGAAAATAGGCTCAAGGAGTTGAGGTCTCTGTCCTGGCAAGGACGCACTCTGACTGCCAAGCGGGGCCTCTGGGTTACAGACAAGGCTATTCCTTTGGGGAGAGGGTCTGGGTGACCAGTTTCTTCCCACAGAGAAAGAAGCAGGTGACTTTGGGGGTGCTCTGCCTGGTCATGGACACCGGGCTTCCCAGCCCCGCCCACCTGCCCCGCAGCGCCACTCACATCTGTGGTGAGGACCAGCCCCATCAGGTACATGGCCACGCAGATGAACCCCGAGAACACGGCCTTCTTGGGCCTCAGGTAGTATGGGAACTCGTCTGTCACAGCTGTCACAATGGTCTCCAGAAAGGCAAACTGAGGGGGATGGGGGGGCGTCTGTGTTCTGTCCCTACCCCCCCAACACACACACAGACACACAGACATATCACACACAGACATACAAATACACAGAGCACATCGCATATTTGCACTTTGCACACACACCACACACACAGATACAGGCACACCTCTCACACATACAGCCACGCACAAAGACGTACAGACACACATCACACACACCATACACTTATCACACAGACACACAACACACAGAAACAGACACAGTCACACTTCTCACACACAGACACACACTGCACAAGGGGTCCGCTGGCAGAACAAGGCCCACCTGGCTGTCCAGGCCGAGGGTCAGCAGCATGAAGAAGAAGAGGAAGGACCAGAAGGGCGCCAGAGGCAGCATGGTCATGGCCTGCGGGTAGACAACAAAGGCCAGGCCAGGGCCTGGGCCACCGGCACTTGGTCAGCCTTGGGGGTGCAGCAGGCCCCCACACACCTACTCCAGTGCACACGGCTGCTTACTCCAGCTGGGGCACACTCGCTTAGCCAAACCCAGAGATATACACAAAGTACGTGCTGCAGACGCGTTCTTAATTCCTGTGACACAGGCAAGCACGTTGTGGGTCCTCAATGGACATAAGTTGATAAAATAAATGAATAAATAATGAATATATGAATAAACACCAGACCCAGATAGAAAACCTCATTTGAATACACATATGTTCACAATCACTGCACAAACAATCCCATTAACACACATACTTAGAAACATCATTGGCACAAGCTACAGATTCACAAGATCATTTGCACCTTGGATGCAAGTGCACACAGGCTTCCTGACACTGGACGTGACTCACTGGTCAAGAGAGGCAAATTACTAAGATGTGATGAAACATAAACGTCACAGACAGAATTTGCTTGTCTCCAGACCCAGGGTGGCACACGTTCATTTGCACACCCATCCCTTGGCACTTGGACTCCCTTGCACACACCTGATGTACCCATCTACAACACTGCTGGTCCACACCCATGCGCCCTCGCCAGCCCAGTGTGCCAGGCACACATCCTCGCCCGCCAGGACTGGGCGCCCTGCACACCTGCTTTGGCAACTTGATCCACAGGCACACCCAGCTCCTGAGACATGTAACCCAGGACAGAGAAGATGGCGAAGCCAGCCAGGATGCTGGTGATGGCATTGCCCAGAGTGACGATGAAGGTGTCTCTGTGGGAGAAGGTTAGGCACAGGCCATGGTGAGCAGGTCCTCATCGCATGAGACCCTCCCCACCAGCCACTATCCTCCACCCCAGCCCCTCCCTTCCTCCCAGCCCCTTCCTCCCCCACTCACCCCCCTCCCCCCAGCCAATGCCCTCCCCCAGCCAATCCCCACCCCAAGCCACTCCCCTCCCCCCTGAAAGCCCCTTCCTTTCCCCCCTTGCTTCACCCCCAGCCCCTCTCCTCCCCCCTCCCTCAACCACTTCCAATCCCCCCAGTCACTCCTCTCCCCAGCCACTCCCCTCCCAGGGTCTGAGAGGTTGCACTCACCTGTAGATGTTCTGATGAAATGTGTTGTAGGAGGCAAAGGTAAGGAGACCCCCGAAGCCCACACCCAGGGAGTAAAAGATCTGCAGAGCAGCTTCGATCCACACCTGTGACAGGGAAAGACAGAGATGGAGATGCTCCGGTGTGTCAGGTCCAGGGATGGTGTGGTGAAGAGCCTGGCTCACAAGTGCCAGCCTGCTCCCACACTGACCCTTCAGAACTTGGGCAAGTGTCTCCTTTCTTTGAGCCTCAGTTTCCCCAGCCAGGATCCAGGTGATCTCTAAGCTTGGTCCAGTTCTGAAGGAAGTGGTGCCTCATGTGAGTTTTCCATAGATTCATATTGACAGTAAGTCTGTGGAGCACCTTTCCTTCCTACCTGGACTGGCAGGGGCCACATTTGGATTCCAGCCCCACTACTTCCTTGCCATTCTGGGCACAAGGTCCCTCATCTGTAATGAGGGGATATGCATAGAGCTACCTAACTATATGCATGCAACATGCTAGGCAGGGGTGGGCATGGCCATCACCAACACAGAAACCACTGCTGCTGCCATCTCACTACCAACTCCCTCCAGGGTGCAGGAGCCAGATGGATATAGGCTGGCCACTCCCTGAGGCCACTCACTGATTCTTTCAGGCCTCAGTTTCTTTATCTATAAAGTGGAAGAATAACATCTACCTCATAGGATTGTCGAGAATAACAGGTGAAAACCACTGTACCAAGCACAGTGTCTGGAACTGGGGAGTCTCAGTGGAGGATTCCCTCAGGCCAGATCCCTCCCTCTGCACCCCAGCCCAAGGCCTCACCTTGGAAGACAACAGGTGGTGGAACTGGGGTGTGAGATAGAACTGGATGCCCTTCCAGGCCCCTGGGAGGGTGACTCCTCGGACCAGCAGCATGAGCAGGATGAGGTAGGGGAACGTGGCCGTGAAGTACACTACCTGGATGGCAAGAGGGGCAAAGACTCCTCTCCACCCTGCTCCTCCTCCTGAAATCCCCATCTTACTAGCTCCCCCCAACTTTTGGGGAGTCCAGGACAGGAACAGCTTTTATCCATAACCTCACCCCCTCACCATCACTGCTTCTGAGGCCATCCCAACCGCAACCCCTCTCCAGCTCCACCATGGCTCCAGTCTGGGCTGCCAGGCCCTTGCCTCGACTGGGGCCCTCTCCTGTGTGTCCACTCCCTCCCAAGCCCCGACCTCTGCACCTCACCCCCACCCCTGATGGTCATCAGACATTTGACTCCCAAATTCCTTCAGCCCAGTCCCCATGTTCCCAAGCCTCCAGCATTTCCTAAGGGCCCCCAGGCCCCTCAGATCTCAGTGGCCCTCTGCCTTCCTTCTCACCAGACCTGATCTCCTTACTTTCTAGCTGCTTTCCACACTGTCTTTCTAGTCTTTCTCTGAATGGTTCTGCAGACACTTCTCAGTACTTTGTAGCAGGACAAATTCTAATTTATAAATGATTGCACATACCATTCGAGAAGTTTCTGAGCCCTTCCAAAACAGCTTTATGGCCCTTCCTGCCCTTTACAACCTTCAATGGACTTGTGTGATTTTGCCTTTCCAGCATCTCACTGGCTTTCTTCAGATAACAGCACCCCAGCTTTGCCTAGCTAGGATGGACTCCATTCCCAGCTCCAGAGTTGGGACCCACACCCAGCCAGGCAGCTCATGCCATCCTCCTGGCCTCTGCGTTCAGGAATGGTACACTACCCAGCCCACCCAGAGAGGCTCAATTCCAGGCTTTTTGCAAACCAGGGAAAGGGAGAGCCCTTCACTAGCAGGTACGATGTCAGCAGCAACTGCTAGGGGCAACCTCATGAAAAGTGAAGCCTGAGAAGGAGCCACTCTGGAGGAAAGCATTGCTGAGAAACTGACAGAACTACATGCTGATATCATTTGAGCCCCTAGGCCCAGCCGTGTCTGAAGTTCAACCTTCAGATTTTTCCAATTGAGTGTAACAACTGAGCACTGGTCCTTTGCATCTGGAAGAGCCCTGGCTTGTATGCCCACCCCCTAAGCACTCCACAAACACTCGCTGAGCCCCTTCAGAGTGGCTGGGCAAGAGGTTCTGGGCAAGAATTTAATTTTGAATAATAGGTCCTGCCTTGGCCACCTCTAGCCCTGTGAGACAGCCTAGCCACGCCATCCTTACCTCCACTTCCCTCTTCATTCAGTGCTCCCCACCAACCTCCATGCCCTCTCGCTCCCTTCTTTCCAAATGAAGTCTACCCATCCTCTCAGACTCGGTCCACACATTACCTCCTCCAGGAAGTCCTCTCCCGTCCCCCCACCTCAGGCCTCCAGGGCCTCCCAGCTTCACCTTGCCCGATGACTTCACCCCCTTGAGGATACAGAGGAACACGATGACCCAGGCCAGCAGCAGGCAGAGGCAGAGGTTCCAGCGAATCTCCCCCGGACTGCCGATGCCCCGGCTGCCTTGGATGTGGAGGACGTAGCGGCTGTGGGAGACAAACGTCTGAGCGTCCCCTGGTCGCCCTGTCATACTCCATGGACATAGACCAAAGCCATGCCAGCCTGCGAGGATCTCCTGATTTTTCTCCATTTAATACCCCCCCCCCATCGCCTTCAGTCCTCCACTGGTCAGCTTGCACCCAGTTGGTGTCTCTACAGACCCCATCATCCAGACTGACTGTCTGCTCGCCTTTCACTTGGTTTTGGTTAAGGGGACCCAACAGTAGGAGACTGGAGGGTGGAAGAGTGGAGGGTCAGGATATTTGCACACACACATACACACCCTCCCCAAGCCACTCCTCCCCACCCCACCCCCACCCCGCCAAACACACACAAATACCCCATCAGCATCTGGCCATGACAATTCTTGCTGGGCAGTCCTTCCTCTGAGGTTCCAAACATCTCCCCTGGTTCCAGGCCCTCCTTCACTTGGCTTAGGGGGATGGCACATCTGTCCCTCTTGCTGATCCTTGGTGCCTCTCCTTCCCCTGGATTCCCTCACCTCTGTAAAGTCCCTGCATAGACTCCCATAGTGAATTTCCTAAATTGCTTCCTGCCTTCACCCCAAGGGACACAGTGGACCATGGTGTTTCCATGGAGACCCCTGAAAGTGGCCTGAAAGACCCCTGAAAGTGGCAGTGCAGGTAAAGGGCTTGAGATACCTGGTCTGTGTCGTCTGGTTAGTCAAGTCCCAACCCAGGGGCCAGGCTATTCTGGAATGTTCCAGAAGAGGATCAGGAATGTAGGAGTCTTGGTTCCAGGAATGCATCTGCCACCACCTACTGACAAGCTTCTCAGTCCTGTTCTCCCAGCTATGATGTGGGGCTTTGAGACCTATTCTCTGACAGCCCCATTCATGGGACAATGTAGCTGCGCAGGGAGGATTTTACCTGCACTATCTGCGTAATTCCCACAGTGATCTTTTACGCTGCTAGAATCCTAGCTCTCTTCTTAGACTGACCAGAGACGGGCTTTACTACTTTACTAGGTTTGGGCCTGGCCTATGCTAAGTGTTTTGCCTCCTGATAGGTCATGCTCAATAAATATTTATTAAAAGAATGAAAAAATGGATAACATCCTATGAAGCAGGAACAATCATCACCCTCTTGGGCAGAGGAGGAAGGGGAGGCTCTCAGAGGCCACAGGAGGGCTATCGCACGGCAGCAGAGTGTCCTGAGTGCTCCGTATCAGCTAGTGGACAGCACGGCTTACATGCCTTCTTTCCTCCTCACCGCCGGCGTGAGAGACACTACCGTCCTACCCACTTCATAGATGGAGCTTTAGAAGCTAAGTACAGTGTTCAAGGTCAAGTGAGGAGCTGGGCTTAAAACCCAGACTCCACCTGACACGGGCACCTGAACTTGGCCTCCCAGCTGGAGAACCCCTGGGGGACAGAGTACACTCCTGCCCTTGCCCCCGGGCCCCCAGAGTGCCGCGGCCAGCGGGCCTGACCTCCAGTACTCCTCGCTGGGGCTGACGGTGCTGCTGAGGTTGAGGGCCAGGGCCCCGTTGCCATCCTTGGAGCCCCTGTGCTCCCGGCAGAGGTCGGTGTTCCACCAGTTGCCGCAGTGCTCCCAGGGCAGGTTGCTGGTGAGGGAGGCGCAGAGGTAGAAGAGGACATAGGCGATGATCATGTTGTAGTAGATGGCCACCAGGCCCACGATGAGCAGCATGGCTGCGCCGGCACCTGGCGGACAGAGGGGCTTCTTGCTGGCCGGGCTGCATGGCCACTGGGGAGCCCTCCCCTTCCTGGGCTTCACGGCCCTCTCTGCCTGGAGGCTGAGGGGGTGGGGGACAACCTCCCTGTCTTTCGAGACCCAGGCCATCTTGGGGGCCACTGAGACCTCACCTTTGAAGAGCGGGCTGATCTTCCAGACAGCCAGAGGCCCCAGGCTGGAGAACTGGCCCAGAGAGAGCTCCAGGAAGAACAGGGGAATGCCGCAGATGGCCAGCATGAGGAAGTAGGGGACCAGGAAGGCACCTGCAGGGGGAGGGTGTGGGGGGAGGTTCTCGGGTGTGCTGCTCCCCTACTCAGGCCCAGCCACCCCCCAACATGGCAGACAGCACCTGTGACATAAGGGAGCATTTCTGGATTGGTACTATCTTCTTTCAGGCCAGGGGAGGCCAGAGGATCAAGGGGGCAGGTGGGGATTGGGCCACTCTACAACCCCAGGGCCCAGATCAGGAGAGGAACTGGGTTCAGAGCAGGTATTGTGAATGAATAACTGAGCGAATGAATGAAAGAGCGAATTCCTGCTAAAGAAAGTACAAGCTCCTCCATCCAGACGTCAACACCGGCAGAATCTGGCTCCAATCTACTCCCATTCCTCCCCCACCTCTCCTGCCACCTCTGATGCTGTGGCTGTCACCTGTGGTCTCATGTGCTCAGTGTCCCTTCTTTTTTTTTTTTTCATCTCAGCCACCAGCTCCCTTAGAGAACTGCCCACCACCATATGGCTCTGGAAGGGCCGCCGTCACACCAGCCAGCTCCCTGCCCACCTCTCCGAGGCACATGTCCCCAGCCAGGCCAGTTCGAAACCTGCCCTGCAATTCTCCAAAATCATCTAGAGAGAGTGGCGCTGAGGAGGAAGTCATTCCGGCATTATCTGTAGCCGCCCACCACCCCCAGTGCAAAGAGGAAGCCAGGCTCAGGAAAAAATGAGGTCATCGCACGGGAAGGGGGAAGAGTCAGGAGCGCGGGAGAGGGCGGACAGGGCAGCACAGGGAACTGTGGACGTGATGGAGCTCCCTGCTGCTCAGACGCCAGCCTAACCTCACTCTGCAGACACACCGGTCTATCTTTCCCTCACTCCCTCCAGCTCTAGTTGGGGTTCTGTCACGCTGCCATATATATTTCCTTAATGAGTTGGGGAGCGATGAGAATGTCCAGTGCTGACAGACACGGGTGTGGAGAAGGTGGTCCCCAGTGGAATGCTGGATCTGTGACCTTTTGACCTTGAGCAAAGAACCTGGCCTCTCTATGCCCTTCCCCTTTTCAAGACAAAGGTGCCCACCAGGAGGGCTTCATCAGGGGTAAATAAGAGGGCAAGGGAAGCAGGGTTGAGTACCCTGGCCATGGGAAGCACTCAACCCTAGCCATTGTTGACGAGACTTGGAATAGCACCTTGACGGAGAAGCAGGGACATCGGCGGATTTGTTTAAGATGGAAGAGAATTGGTGTTTGCAGTCTGAGTGGAAGGAAGCAGGAGGTGGGGATAGAGTGGGAATGATTGATGAAGGAGGGTTCTGGAGGAGGGGGGTGTGTGTGTGTGGCAAAAGGGGGAAGTATTAAGAGCATATGTTCATGAAACTGAGGCTGCCCCACTGCCCCTCGCTCAAGGCTCGGGAAGTACCAGCCTTAGAGAGAGCGCCATGTGGGTATTTAGGCTGGGGATGAAAGCAAGGGGCCTAGCTGCCCCTCCTCTCCATGGGGTGAATCCCAGGAGACTGATGAAAGTCACACGGCTGGGTGAGCACCCTGCCTCCGGCCCCAGGCCACTAGAAACTGCTCTCAACTGGCTCAAGGTTACAGAGGAGACAGGCCAAGGCCACTAAAATCTTCACTCCATTCCAAGCATGGGCCTGTGGCCCTGGACACCCCTCCGGCAGGACGGCAGGCCCATACCTCCTCCGTTGGTGTAGGCTCTGTAGGGGAAACGCCAGACATTCCCCAGGCCCACACAGTAACCAATGCAGGAGAGCAGGAAGTCCAGCTTGCCCGTCCAATTCCCCCGGTCTGCAGCAAAGTCCACGTCCAGGTCTACATCACCCTGGTCACTCGGGGTCATCAGCAGGTCTGGGGTGACAGGCTACCAGTAAAAGAGAGCAAAGGGGTGAGGGAGGGAAGTTGAAGCTAGGTTGAAACCATGACTCCCCCAAACAAGAACATGGAATTGAACAGGGCGCATGCGAAGATGCACTGTGGTTCAGGTCACACTCGCTGCTCTCACCTGGCCTGCTATGGTCCGCTGCCAGAGCTCGGGGGCTTTAGGTGACTATGAACTTGAATGACGATGACTGGGTATTGAGCAGTACTGTGTGCTCACATTACCCAATTTCGCTTTCAAAATAACCCTGTCAACTAAGTGCTCTTCCAAGCTTCACTTCAATGGGGGAAACTGAGGCTCCAAGAGGTATCCTGATGTACGCAAGGCTTTACACCACCAGTTAGTGGGGAGCCTTTGTCTTGAACTGAGGGCCCTTCTTCTGAATCTGTGTCATCAACCGCAACAGCTGGAACTTGGCTCCTCTGTCCTGAGCACCCCATTTTAAGAGCTCCACAGACAGTTGGAGCATATTCAAAGGGCAGGTGGCCAGACAGGAGGATGTTGAGGAAAAGAGGTTACAGGAGGACAAGAGGACGCAGATTGGCACAGAGAAGAGAGGACTGGAAGGAGCCACGGGCTCCCCGAAGGGAGGGCTTAGATGGACGCTCAGGGAGGCCTCAGGACTGTGACTATTAGTTCATGAACAACAAGAAGCTTCTTAAGCAGTGACCTATCTCAGAAAGTCCTAATTCTCCCGTCACTGAGGAGGCCCAAAGGCAGCAGAGACGCACGTGTGCTATGGCACACAGTCCAGCTGTATTTAAAGCCCCCTTTGCCGTGACTAGAGGAGGGTGTGGGTCCACTGGGCACCCTCTGATTGGGCTGGGCTAGAGATGGCGTGCTCCTCTGGCTACTGGATGCAAGCGAGTGTGTCCATGAGCTGCCAGGGCGCCAGCCTGCCAGGAAGCCCAGAGGCACCAGGACGAGTGTCTGAAATTCAGAGAGCTGTGCCCAGCAAGTGACACCAGGGTGGGTAGGGAGAAAGGGGCATACAGACCTTTCCTGCTTGCCTCTGAAAATCAAACCCAAGTGGTCTCGTGTGACCCAGGGGCAGAGAAGGAAAGCCTTTTATCAAATGATGGCCATGGGTTTCAGAAGGAGAGAGGACCCCCTGTTTCCAGTGAGGAGTGGTTGTGGGAAATAGGAATCCCACTGGACTGGGGATCAAGAGACTGGGGTATCTAGTGTCTAGTGTAGGCCAACTCATCATGTGACTTCACAAAGCGTCTTCAAGCCTCAGTTTCCCCACTTGGGCATTGAGGGGTTTGGAGAGATGAGTGTTTCCAAAAACTGGACTGTTCATGAGTGTCACTGGAAAAAAGTCTTGAGTCAAAGAAGTTTGAATAAAACTGAATGAACACAAAGTAGAAGTTTTCTTTGCTGCAGGACTTGTCAGATCCTTTAATGGACTAGGCATCACAACTCTAAACAGGGACTAAAATAGATGTTATTTTCCAGTTCTATTTCTGAAAAGGGTTTCAAGGAGCTCGTATGCTGGGATTCCTTGTGGGAGGTTGGGAGGAATATATGTCTAGAAAATTCCTCTCTAATAGTCTTTTGGGTAAGACTCAACAAAAAGACTTCACTGGGGACCCTGACAGTGGTTGGGCACCAGAGCAGATCCCAGGGCAGGGACTCAGTAAATAGCCACTGACCAGATTTGCTTCTTCCTCTTAAATTGCCCTTTCTGGCCCCAACCCAAGTAGATGTCTACACTCAAGTCAGATGGTAACAGAGGAGGTTCAGCAAGGGTTGTCTAAGCAGCATTGTGGGCACGGAGAGGGTGAATATGACAGGCGAGGTGCAGCTGCAGGGGCAGTCAGCTTGGTGGCAGAACTAGGGTGACAGTGTTGGCTTAACTCTCAGTGACAGTGAGGATCTGGTGGGGATCCTGCCTGAGGCTGGCAACGGCCAGAAGGTGGTGGTGCTGGGGACAGGCTGGCATCACCATGGGTGACAACGACCGTGATAAAAAGCTGCTGTTACAGTGACCAGGCTCCAAGGGTTGAAAAAAGAATATGCCAGGAAGTCCCTCAGCTGCGACTTCAAACATGCCGGAATGGGGGTGCAGCAGCTCCCAGACCCCTTCTGTCTGATGCTCCTTTCTCCATGGCTTCCTTTCCAGTTCGGTAAGCATCAGCCCCCAGAGCCACTCCCAAGTGAGCCCCAGAGGATTGGGGTAGCAGCCAGTTGATACTGGCCCTTGGTACTGCGCAATGTGAATGGCCTGTCACCTTGTGATCCCCCAGCCCCATTCAGGCCAGCTGGCAGGAGGGTCCAGTAATGAGGTTCCTCTGATCCCTCCCGAGAAGCTGCTGCCCTTTCCCTGCTCACAGAGCTGTCCGCTCTCTGTTTCCATGGTGACAAGAGTTCCAAGAGCAGGATGCTGCCAGCTCTTCCGTCCCCCTCCTTCCCCAATCAGAGGGAGGCCTGTTCCTACTCTGGGGGCAGGGGATGGGGTCCTCCAAAGCTGAGCCAATCCCATGCCTGCCTGGAGCCCCTAATCCCATCATGAGGTGAATCCCAGGGAGCTGGTACAGAATCGGGAGAGGAAAGCAACACATCAATGGGATAGGGTTGGAAGCTTGAGGAGTCGCTGCACAATTCTGCCTGGGTGTGAGACTCCCACCTCTGATCTTCCCACTCCCCAGCCAGTCACATAGGAACACACAGCAGAGTTTGCCAGATCTGTACCCCCCTGGAGAAGCCAGCAGCAGCAGGGACTGAGGAACCACCGGCAGTAGTAGGACGGCCCCAGCCAAGGTTCTCAGCCCCTCTTCAGGATGAGAGCGATAAGAGGGATCTGGGGTGCAACTCCATCATTGTGCAGACGAAGAAACTGAGCTTCAGGGAGAGGACAGGAGGAGTTCAAGATCCAGCTGCAAATTAGGAGCAGACCCAGCTCTCAACCCAGGCTCCTCTTGGACAACACCACTCCTTTGCTGCTACCTGGCACTTCACTCCTTGGTCACTTCTTCATGAGACCAAGGGAGGGGATCTTGAGGTCTGGTGGCCTCACTCCAGGTCTTAGGTTGCTACACCTGTTGTGCCTCAGTTTCCTTGTCTTTAAAGTGGGAAAACAGGACTCTGGGAGTGGAGGACCACAAGAGACTTCACAGAACAGGGCATGTGCATACATGCAGGTCTGTGGCGGGGAGGGGCAGAGGCTTTTGCAGGGAGGGAGGGGAAAGGGGAGAGTGGGAGAATGGACAAGCATGAGGAAGGCGCCCCAGAAGACCTAGAGATGCACAAGTGGTCCCAACAGTGCACTCAGGTAAGCACATAAAATAAAAGCCCATCGTTGCAGAGGGGCCATGCTTGGCCGCCCAAGGGCAGGGAACTTAAATGAGTATGTTGTGGAGGTGGAGAGGCAAGGGAAGCTGAGTCTTCAACATAATCGGCTTCTGTGAACAACTGTCCTTGGTCCCAGTGAGTGCAGCACCTCTCCCCTCCCCCACCCCAGGATACTGGGGCCCTGTTGGTGGCTGACACCCGACATGGCAGCCCAAAGTCACAGGGGAAGTGGCTGCAGAACCAGTACCCAGGAGTTCTGACTCCGTGACTAGGACTGACCAGAAAACTTCCCCGAATCCTCTCCCTCCCTAGCACACAACTTGGCTGGGAAGTCTGGCCCCACAGGACAATGCGGGGGAGAGGCTGAGGCCAGGGCCCAAGGCCCCATGAACTCAGGCTGGACGACTTCTCCCATGCCAGCTGCCACCCCATGCCCACATTCCCTGGGTCGCCCATTTTCTCCATCCTTCTTTTGCCCCACTTTAGCTCTGTTGAGAGGCAGTGTGGTCTCAGCAGGGAAGCTAAAGCTGCCAGGAGAGAAGGGTGTGGGAGAAGAAGCCCGTGGAGGGGCCCAGCAGGGCAGAGGCACGGGCAAGAAAGCCTGGGGCCCCCTGCTGGCTCTCTGCTGTAGGGGGCACAGACCAGGGCCCGCGGATGTCACCCACGCCCCAACCCCCTAATTTGTCCAGCTCAAGGCTGGTGCTCAGCTATTCCAACACCCCACCCTACAAGCAGTCCCTAGGGGAAATGTTCCTGGGGACTGGGGAGGGGTGGGAACCTGGTCCCAGTTACCCCAAATCTGTACTTCCTGGGGCCGCAGACACCTGTTCCCGGGCCCCGCTCGCCCACACCACATACACCGCGACCTCCAGACCTGAGCGGGGAAGCTGGGAGGTGAGGGGGCTAGAGCTCCCCCGCATCCCGCGGTGACCCCGCCCCTCCGTGCAATCCGGCTCAGTCTGGTCTCCCCCAGAGCCCCGAGTCGGTCCAAGTGCCCGATCCTACCCCCCGGGGGCCTCGATGCGGGCGGGTCTCCGCGCCCCTCCCTGAGGTGCGCCCGCATCGCCCGGCTTCCGCGCCCTACCTTTCGGAGGTGAGCTCCCTGGAGCTTCTTCATCTCGGAGGGCGGGTTGCTGGGCTTTCCCGGCGGGGCTTCTTTGGCGCGCAGAGAGCAAGAGAGGGAGCCCGCGGGTCGGATCGTGCCGCCGGCCTGCCTCCGCGCCTTGACCGGGGCGGCTCCCGCGCTCCGGCTGCGTGCGGGGTGGGGGCTCGTGAGGGGCCGGCGCTGCCTTCCGTAGGCTGCGGGCGTGGGGCGCGTGCGGGCGTGGGGCGCCGGCCCAGGCTGCCAATGCCCAGCCTCTCCCTGCGCAGCGCTGGAGGCTGGGGGTGGCGGGGGGGGGGGGGGTGCACCGCTACACCCGCGGAGACACCCAGACAGACTGGGCTGCCGGACTGATGGGGGGGGGGTGCGTGCGCCCCCGCACGCAGAGCTGCGGATTGGAGGGGCTGAACGCGCGAACAGGGGGTACGCGACGGAAACCTTCCGGAGGTCTGGAGGCCCAAGCCACCGTCTCCTGCGTGACCTTGGGCAAGTAACCTGCCCTCTCTGGGCCTCCTTAGCCCCAGCTGGGCAAGGAGGGAGACCGGCCGTGCCAGGGACTCTAACAGCCGCGTCTTGGGTCCCAGTGTCCCAGCGCTCCCCTGCCTCCCTGTGTGACCTTGCCTCCTCTTCATCTGCGAAATGGGGGTACGAATCTTATCTCTCTTAGGATGGGAGGAATTCAGGGGGATAGAGCATAGAAAACATTTAGCCCTGGCACAGAAGAAGGGCTCAGTTAATATTTATTGACTGGGTCTGAGGATGCCCACTCCTGCCCACAAAATTCAGATATTCACCCAATCCACGAATTTTTATGGAACATATAAAGAGTCCAGACTACTTGGATAGGTCTTGCTTTTTCAACACAGTGACATGGAGAGGCAGGTAGCATCATCTTTCTATTACAGATGAGGAAGCTGAAACAGAGAGGTTGTTATCATTCAAGGTCACAGAGCGAGGGAGTGACACCAGTGACAGAGTCGGGCCTCATGGACAGGTAAATGGTGGTCCTGGATACTCCTGTTTCCCTTGGGATGAAAATAAATCAGGCAAGCCTGGGCCAGCAGGAAGTCAAGGCAAGTACCACCGTGTCATCCTGACTGTTACTCAGATCATGACTGTTACCTGGGCTCTGGGACACCAGCACTGTGTGACCTTGGGAGTGCTGTGATTTCACATCTGTAAAATGAAACACCTGCCCGCAGAGCCTGGCTGAACCATTCAGAGTGTGGCCAGGGTCTGGAGAGCCTGTGGCTGGGGCGGGCGGGGGCGGGGGGGATCATTATCTGGAGTGATCATGGGCATTGGTGTGTGGGACTGAAGTGGTACCTGCCGGCGGGCCTGGAATACACATTACACCGTACATTGCAAACCGTGTCCCTTTCACTCACAAAAGTGTCCCAGTAAAGAACTAGATTATAGGGTTACCCTACTATCAGCCAACATGTGGAGGCCTTTGGGGAGTGACAGCGAGTGGGAACAAGACAACAAGGGTCTAAGTGGAAATGCAGGTGTAAGGAAGAGACTGGCCAGGTCTCAGGGTTCCCCCTCTCCCTGGGTCCCACCCAGCTGTTCCTTCCTCACAGGGCAGGCCAGGGCTTCTCCAGACCCAGGAGGAAGGAGCTCCTTGACTGTGAATGTGAAGCAAAGCTTTCATTGACCCAGTGTCTAGTTTCTAATTCTTGCCAACAGCCTGGTGAATCCCCACCTTGTACCAGAGGGGACTACTTCAGAGGGGTCAGGTGCCCAAGGACACACAGAGGCCACACTCTCCCCACCCCCATAGCTTCTCACCACATTTCTTATAAAAGAAGGTGCAGCTTAGCTGAAGCACACTACCATTTGGTGCATGAGTTTCACTAGACCCTGTGGAAGACACCAGAATCCCAGGAGCAGGGAGCCAGGCAAGGCTGGCCTCGTGGTGGACTCTTCCCAGCAGCATCTGCTTCCTCCTAATGCAGTCGTGGTGGGAGAAGGGGAGCCAGTCCTGGGGAAGAGAAGGCAACAGGGCTGGGGCTTTGGCCTTCCTTGAGCAGAGGTATCACAGGGTGACTGCTGAGCATCCATTGAGTCCCAGGGCTATGGGTACCCAGGAGTCAAGGGCAGGCCTTTCAGAGGGGGAAACCGAGGCCCAGAAGAGGCAGGATTTGCAAAATCATCAAATTTCAGCGACATAGAGGCAGGGTCAGGCCTAGAACCTATGCCCTGGCCTCGCCCAGGTTGTGCCTCCAATTCGTATTGTTCTGCCATCTTTTCCTCCCACCATTGTCCGTTTTGTTAAAGTCTGCAAGGTTTTCTAGGTGCTGTCCATAGAAATCAATCTGCCCACTGATGTCCCAGTTTTAAGATCGTAAAAGTGGCAGTGAATTCGGCTACCAAGTGTGTTTGAATTGCTTCTACCAGTGCCCTCTGTCCCCCATTCCAGGGGAGGGTTGAGTACTATCCAGGAAGTGCCTTCTCAGGAATCCCAACCAGAGCACTCACCCTGTTTCCCTTTCCTTCTTCCCACCTGTCTGTCCTTTCCTCTGTTTCTCCTGGTCTCACATCAAGCCAGAAATGAATCAGTGGTGTGTGCTGATTTTAAGGAAAGTATTTGATCAAAGTGTGCTGCCTTTTATTATATAGAGAGATATTTTTAAATGCATATAAATAAACATTTTTAATTTGCTTAAGCATTCAGACTGTATAGCCGTAGAACATGTGTTTTGTTATCCAGGGAGTGGCTGTGGAAAACGGGGATCCAGACTGCTAGTCCATCTGGTGTGATTCAGAGAAAGTGGTTCCAGAGCAGCCAGGCTGGAGCAGGATTGCTGTGCAGAGCTGCCTTGCCCCAGGCCTACTGTGCTCCTGGGTTCTGTATCTCACGGGCTGGGCCTCTCAGCCACCGAGAGCGAGGCTGGTTTCCTTAGCCACCCACAGTCCTCCTGTGTCCCCATCATAATCTGTCATACACACACACACACACACGCGCGCGCACACACACACACACACACACACACACACCCCGCTCCTGGGACGCTGGAGGCCTCCTCTGTGAGCACACCCACCCCAGATCATGAGTTCCTCCCTGAAGTGGAGCCTGGCCTCTCTGCTTGGCCCACGCCAGTCTCTTAGCAATCAATCATGGAACTGGCTCCTCCACCAGCCTGGGGTGCTCAGTGTGGGGCTAGGGGTCTCTAGACCCTCTAAAGTTGCCAGTGTGCATGTTTCTGATTTGCTAAAGGCCACGCCCAGGCCATGGGCTTCAAGGGTCAGGCCGGATCTGAGTTTTGTCTGAATTCCTGGTCTCTGGTGCCAGAGCTGGGCTGATGGCTCTGCAGGGAGGGGTACAACAGCATTAAACGTGAAGCAGAAACAGCACAGCTATTCCAGATAGGAAGCAGGGCTATCTCTTAGTCATGGGGTGGCTGCAGGGTGTGATGGGACACGTAGGATCCCTTTTCTGAGCCATTATAACACCCAGCCTCTGGTAGAACTTGCTGGATGATGGGGAAATCACTACTTCGAAGGTAGCTAATAGCAGTGCTTGGAAACTGTCAGAGAGAAGCCTTTTTTCTCATAGAGTTCAAACACCAATTGGTACGTGTTTGCCAACCTTACCTGTGGGGCCCACCCAACACCCCCCGACACCTGACTTCCCATGTGGGCAGCAGCTACTGCTCACCTGGCCTGCCGGACCTGGCCTCTGACTGCTGCAGAGTTGCCCTGTGGCTGAGACAAGCCTGGCCCACCTCAGATCTTCACAATCTGCCCACAATCTGTCCTTGGCACTGGGCGTGTGGGTTTAAATAGGAGGCAGCCCACGGGCCCCTCATACTAGGACAACAGTCCTAGGAACAGGTGGCTAACACGTGGCATCTACTGTGTGCTAGGTCTGGGCTAACCACAGTTCTGAGGCTATAGTATTTTATTTCCATTTGAGGAACCAGGAGACTAAGGCTCAGGGAAGCTAAATAACTTGCCTGAAAGCTCGCAGCTTGGAAGGAGTACAGTCGGCACCCAGGCACCCGACAACCAAACCTGCTATTGAACAAAGTCTCAATGGAAAATGTGGGCATCGGTCCCATGGCAGCCCGTATCCCCGTATTCCAGGATGTGGAGTTTAGTGGGGTGCTGGGGGGTGGGGGTTGCTGGGTTGTGAATCACAGGAAAGGCTGAATTAAAGACAATTCGAGGGTGTGCTTATGCTCCACTGTGGTCCTCCCAGAGCCATTTCTGCTTGGTAAACAAGGTCCCCAATTTTACAGATGTGCAAGCAAAGGTCCAGAAAGGGAAAGCTTTACCCCAGGGTCACACAGGAAATGTTTCTGAAGATCAGAAAACCATGTTCATTTGTTGCCAGCCTCGCTTCCACTACTTCCTGTTCCCCTGCTTCTCAATGCCTAATCCTCCCTTGCTACCCCCTGGCCCAGTACCTTCACCCATCAGTGGTGAAGTCCCCAGCCCAGACCCCTAGCAGGAAAAGAGAAATGTCCTTTGCTGCTCTCTGGGGCCGTGTCAGCTGGACCCACCTCACATAGTTGTCATGTGGCCCAGGAGCAAAGGGCAGACAGGAGGCTGCGCACATATTTTACGGTGAGGCCACTTCCTAGAACAGTAAATAAAGAGGCGGGCAGCTGGCACCAGAGCCCTCAAGGGAGAGGCGCTCCCAGGTGGCAGACAGCTGCCCACCTCCAGAAGGGAAAAGTTTGAAAAAATATTTTAAAATTGTACTGTACTTTAAGTTCATTTCGCTTATATTCTTTCTTACCCTTCTTGCTTCTTGGCCTAACAAGCATCCACTTGCCCCTTAGGGCTCAGTTCAAATGCCACCTTCTCCAGGAAGCCTTCCTGACTTCCCAAGATCCTTGGATGCTTTGTTTCCCTGATGACCAGGGCAGATGGAGGAATAGGAGTTTCCTGGGCCCACTCATGCCCGGCACATAGGGGTGTTCAATGAATGTCATCTATTGAAAGAAAAACCTAGCCTAGAAATTCTTGAAAAATTCAAAAGACTGATTATTCACTGACAAAATGGGCTTAAAAGTTTATATAGTCTTGGACCTCCCTGGTGGCGCAAGGGGTTAAACACCATACTATGAAGCAATCCGCAGCCTCTGCAGCACAACTTCGGTCCCCAGCCAGGGAGCTGACCCACATGGCGCAGCAGACCTCTCCTGTCTCACCCGCTCTCCCCTCAGCAGTGTATTTCAGTGAATCCACCAGTTCTGCTCCCCACTCTGTCTCTGGTGAATCCTCTCACCCTCCTGGACCTCTGGCCTACACCCCAGCTCTTGTATGCATAAATAAATAAATCTTAAAAAAAAAAAAAGTTTACATGGTCTCATAGACTTACTCCAACAAGGTTCTGTTTTGATCTTGTAAAGGCATTTTAAAGATGACTGGTTTGGGACCTACAGAGACTGGGAAGGATGATGTCATTGTTAGGGAAGGTTGGGGATGATAATGTCTTTAAAATGTTCCTTCAATGTCCTGTATAGTGATCTTCGTACATTTTTAAAAAGAGAAAAACATTTATTCTTGAAGCTGCATCCAAGAGAGTCCACTCTACGGAAAATGTTTGTTCATCGTGAGCTCTGCTTGGTCCAGAGAAAGTCCTCAGGGGGTTTCCTGGGGCCTGGGCGCCAATGGTCAGTCTGGTGGGGCTGGTAGCATGTGGAGCCTGCTCACCTCCCAACTGAGGATTCTGGTGAAGGGGGACAGTTCTCAGAGCCGCCCTCCAGTCAGTCCCGTGGGCTTTGTGCTCTGGATCCGGCAGGACATGAAGAGAGGCCGAGAAGGAGTGGGGCTGAGGAGACAGGTGCCAGCTGACCATGTCCTCTCCAAGCTTGCTGTCTTCTCCAAAATGAAGAGGGGGCCCCGGGCCTTATCTTGGCTCCCTCACCTGGGAGGGGTGGCAACCTCTCGCCATGGGCCTTATCTACCTGAGGTCTAGCACACAAGAGCAGGGGAAAGTTCTCATCCGGCAGGATCCCTGCACCTGAGTGCCCAGGCCCAGCCAGCAGGCCCCGTGGGGCTACGGCAGGTATTCTTCCTTGACTGGCAGTGGGGAGGAGGCACCCAGGAGGCTGGTGGAACTGGAGCACAGGCCCCCCAGGGGTGGTCCAGCTGGAGCCGGCGTGACTTCATGACCTGCGGGCAGAGGCTGTGGGGGTTGCTGCTGCTGCTGCTTCTTCTTGTTCACTTTACGCTCTTTTGCCCGCCGATTTTGGAACCAAATCTTCACCTGTGGGATAAGAGAATAGAGAGAAAATAAGTGGTAGGGGAACCAGATGACAGGCTAAGAGGGAGAGAGGAGAGCAGAGCTGGGATTTCACAATATGACATTGTGGCCTCCCTCTGGCTTTAGCCACCCATCCTACGTTCTCCCTCTAGAATTTACTCTCCTACCTTCAAAACAATGTTCTTTGTAAATTTCTTCCCTACCATCTTCCAAGGCCAGGCCTTAACACCCCTCCTCCAGGAAGCCCTCCCGGTGACTTCTCCCTCCTGGATTTAATCAGCCCTGATCATAGCCTGCTATAGCCTAGATCTAATCCCCTTTCCCTCTATTGGGGTTTGGGATACTGGGTTTTGTGGAGGGTGTGGGGCATTTAGGCACCGCTCAATTTTTGCTTTGCTGTGTGATATGGCCAGGAGACTCAAAGCCTTTGTTCTCTTCCCTGAGCTCCATAGTCTGCGCTAGAGCCTGGAGGCCACACTCCTAGTATCACTCTCGTGGCTGAATCTGGGGACCCGCACACCTGTCGCTCAGTGAGCCCGAGGCTGGCGGCCAACTCGGACTTGCGCCGGATGGTGATGTAGCGGCTGTAGTGGAACTCCTTCTCCAGCTCCAGGCGCTGGTGGTCGGTGTAGACAACACGGTACTTGTCCTTGGTCCGGGTCTTACCTGAGAGGCAGAGGGGACAGGAGGGAAGATGTGTGGGGAAGGGGAGCCTGCGAAATGTCCAGGCTGGGCCCCAGGAAGGAAGAGCAGCAATCCAGGCCCCAAAGGAGGGCCCTGAGGTGGGGAGGGACAAACATCCCAGTCTGCAGGGATCATCTCCCTGGGCTCAGACTTCGAGACCCGAACCTGGGAGGCACTGTTCGTAGGTTCATTTGGGACAGCACCTGGCAGAGAGAGCAACTGCTCAGAGTGGCACCACCAGCTGCTGTGAAGCTGGGGGTTCAGTCCAGGTGGCCAGCTCCCCTGATTTGGCCCAGCAGCTCCTCCATGCAGTCAACAACAGGCACTCCTGGGAAACTTGTGAAAAACAGCTTGCAGGGCTTCCCTGACCAAGGGAAGCAGAAAGCCATCCAGGCCTGGGGGAAGAACCTGCGTTCCTTTATATTTTTAACTTTTTTTAAACTTTTTTTGGTATTACTTTTATTGAGGTGACTTGGTTTACCATACTACATGTGATCTGGGGTCTAGGAAGAACCTGCATTTTTAACAAGCTCCCCAGGTGGTTCTGACACATGGGTCCTCAGCCCACAGGGCTGAACACTGGAGACGTGGAGGGACATGGCAGGCAGCGGGCACTGAGACTACAAGGATGTCAACTGCTCTTTTCTCCTGTGCAGGAGAGGAGAGCGGGGAAGAGCCTCCACAGGCAAAGGCAGAGGCAGAGAGTTTTCTGGAAACATCTTGGGGTGTAAGTACTTCCATTCCTGCCAAATGCCTAGCAGCTGCTGGTCCCAAAAACCAAACAGAAAGAACTGAAGACATGTCATGTTCCTCAAAGGCCCTTGACCTGGACACCAAGCCCTGAGCTGGGGCTGCCCCTGGGGAGGGGCTGTTCTGCTGGAGCATCCCACTCCGTCCACAGCCAGGCGCTGGGGTACTACAGTGAGCACATTTACAGATCCCTGCCCTCAGAAGTTCTGGTTCTAGTGGAGAGAGAGGGACAAAAATAAAATAAATATGGAAAATATTTGATACCTTCATTGATGATTTCAGAGAGAAAGAAGATAGGGAAGGAGGTCAGGGGATTTAGGAACAAGAGTTTGTGATTTTAAAAGTGGTGGTCCATGAAGGACTTAGTGAGAGGGGATTTAAGCAAAGATCTACAGGAGATGATGGAAAGAGCTAACAGCTATCCAGGGTGGAGGGCTAGTGCAAAGGCCCTGGGGTGGAAGCACACCTGTCTGAAGAGTAAGGAAGCTGTAAGGCTGGGGTGCAGGAGGGGTAGGGGGTGTGAGGGCCTATGGGAAGGACTCAATTTTACTCAGTCTGGGATGGAAGCCACTGCGGGGTTCTGAGCCGACCCAGGGTCTGACGAAGATTTTCCTCTTACTCTGGCTGCTGTGTGGAGAGAAGATGGGGAGAGAAAGAGGGAGCGCAGGCAGACCTACAGTAATCCAGGAGAGAGAGGAGGCAGCCTGCCCTCCATGGAGCTCAGCCGGGGCCAGAACTGGATGTGAAGACCATCTGGGGTTAATGTCAGAGCTCACTGTGGGGCTGGGATTAAGGTCTGTCTGGAGAGTATATTAAGAGTCAGACTTGGCCTGGGCTGGTGCAGGGCTGACTAAACATCAGTTTCCTTTGTAAGAAGTTGGGAACGTTGGCTATAAATAGGAGGCACAGGCAAGCACTTCCAGACACATGTGTGCCCTGCCTGGCGTGGAGGGTCTCTGTACCACCATCGGCCCCCTCCCACTTCACCGAGTGCCCACGACAGCTTGGCTCTCACCTTCTCGGTCATGGCTCTGACCCTGTCTGTCCCTCAGCACCCTGTGCTAACTACCCCCCCCCCCCATTTTAGTCTCCACCCCTCCATCAAGCCCACACTGCTCGGCAGGACAGCCACAGGTCTCTCTAGACCAAGCGGTTGTGTGGCGAGCAGGAGACCGCAGATGTTCCTGAGCTCTTTTCCTTAGATTCCCTGCCATAGCAGCGGAACCACAGTGGACACTTCCACATCCACTGACCTCGGCCCACCGCCCGATGCAGCATGGGACAGCCTCGACCTGCAGCCAAGCCTGGCCCAGCCAGGGGATGAGGGAGTGGCTGCCGAGGACTTGGCTCCAGATGGGCCCTTCCTTGGCCTAGAAAATTCAACACTGGCTCAAACACAGCTCTGCCTAATGCCAGCACCGCCAGGGCCCAGTGGAGCTCTGAATCCATAGCTCTGCTGAGTTCACTGAGCTAGATGAAGAAACTGGGTTTCAGGATGGTTCTACAGCTGCCAGAGCTCCAAGTAAGAGAAGTCCTGAGTCCTCCTAGCCCAACCTCCCTGTCTAGGAGGGCCTGGATTTGCCAAAGCCACGCCATCTGGTCTAAAGTGCTTGTAACTCAAGCCACCAAGTTTAGGGTCTACAGAGCTGGCCATGGAGTCCTCCTAAGAACCCCTGGTAACAGACACTCCCACAGCAGCCCACCCCATACCTGCACTTCTGGGAAGGGAGGGGCCAAACCATGGGGAGTACAGACCCCTGGAGCCCTGGTGGGGCTGGATGGCTGACAAGCCAAGGCCTTGAAAATGCCCAGAAAGCTTACACCACCCCCAGGACAGCCTGAGGTTAGGGGGCGAGGCTCCCTGGCTACCCAAACTGCAACCTGAGAGTATAGGCAGTGATTATAAGACATTCCTTCCTCAGCTACCCAGCGCCTATCCTTTCTGATGAACAAGCAGGGACCCATTACACCCATTTCATAGATGGGGGAAGCTGAGGTTCAGAAAGTGGCCTTGCTGAAGGCCAAAATGGGGGCCATGGAGGGAGGTGGTTAATCAGGAAAACTAGTTCTACCTACACAATTACTCATCTTCAGTCTAACAAGGCTACCGGTCACCCCCCTTTTGAATTCAGGAAAGGGGCTGGCCAGTCCAGAAGCCCATTGATCTTCTAGCTGGTAGAGCTTCTATCTGGCATAGCTGCTCAAAATGCAATTTTATTGCTAAGAGAATGGCTCTGTGAAAGGACAGATGTTTGATGTCACGCTGTGTGGCCCAGGGAACCCCATAAGCTATCAGGCCCTGAGAACTGGAACATCCTCCTTGGAGCCCGACTTGGTGACATCTGGCCTTGGTCAACATGCACATGACCTTTGACTCATTAGTCCCACTTCCAGAAATTGACCCCACAGATAAATGCCCAAAGCTATAGCTGCTTTGAATAGCACCAGACTACAGCAATGAATGTGTCTGCAAGTAGGGAACTTCTGTAAGGGATGGTTCATCCATGGACATGTCATGCAGCTTTTAAAAAGAAAAGCCACAGCTCTGCAAATTCCAATATGGAGCCATTTCTAGGACACAGTGCTAAGGGTGGGGGAGCAAGATATAGAGTGTGGTAAATGGTATATTGCCTTTTTTTTGTATAAAAATGGGCGAGGTACATACATTTGTGCACCCATAGAGTTCTTTCTGACAGTACACACCAATAACAGAAGCCAGTAATCGGGGGTGCCTTGAGACGTAAGCCCCTGCTGGCAGCCTCAGAAACAGCCCTGGAGCCTACGATGCAGTGAATGCCTAGTACAGTGCCTGGCACACAGTAAGTGGGTGGCAAAGGAGGGAGTTGATCCACTTCTGATCGTCACAGGATGAGCTTACGGCAGGCGTGCTGGGAAGCTGATCTGGGCTATGTGTTGGAGGAGACTGTTTATTTATCAGCTCCCTTCCAATTTGGAAACATGAGGCTCCCAATGTTTGTTGATTCTCTGATTGTGTTTGTTATTGTTACTGAAAGAATTGTAAGGACAATTTCCCTGTCTGAGAGTCGTAGCAGTCTTGCTCAGCTGGAGGAGAGGGGCCAGCCTGGGCCAGGCCAGGACAGAGTTCAGTCTCTGCCCTGGGGCATAGTGGGTGGTTCCAGGAAAATCTTGTTCCTCTAGCTCAACACTTCCTTTGCCCTCTTCCTGCTGGGTTTGTGGCCCTGCAGGGTGACACTGCCAGTCCTGGTCCTCAGGGCCTGGAACAGAAATCCAGTCCTGAACTCCTTGTGGAGTCCAGCCTCCAATGGCTGTGCATAAAAATTCCCCCAACACACACAAACACTCTCTCTCTCTCTCTCTCTCTCTCTCACACACACACACACATATGCACGAGCACACACGTTTGTTAAAAATATCTGTGCCTAAGCTCTACCCCAGATCTGCTTTGCCTGAATCTTCCTACCATCTTCAGCAAGCCCACTGCGGGATCCTAAACTAGGCAGAGTCAGTAGGTCCTGGCACAGCTCTGAGCCATCTATGTGGCTTTCACTAAGCCCCTTCTCTCTGGGCTCACTCTCTCCTGTGAGGGGTGGGGGCCAGCTCCCAGGGCCTGTAGATACTTGAAGTTCTGTACAGCAGTTAAAGCCTCTGTAAGGATCCAGACCTGTGTTTGACCATCTGCAACTGAAGGACTTGACAAATGACTGAACCTCTTTGCTCCAGGGATGTGACAGCAGCTTGTGAAGGGCAACTGTGGAGTGACATGACATGAGCTATTTGCAGAAGCAGATGTTGGAGGGATCCCTTGGGAGAGGGAGGAATGTTGCTTGGTGGGGGAGTCACAGGGTAAAGGACACACTGGCCTGGAGTGGGGCAATCAGGCCTGGTCATCAGCTGGGCATGTGATGCTCAGTGTGGGCCTGTTTCCCCATCTGTACACCAGGCCTAGGGCTCAGCAGTCCGACCTGGCCCGATGGACGCCAGACAGATGTCCTTCCTGAGCCAGAAGCTCACTATTGGGCCCCTAGTTGGGTCCTTGTTGTGGCTGACCGCCTGTCACAGGCTGCTATCACAGCCCCTCACTTTGGTTCTGCAGCCAAGGTAAGGCTGGCATGAGGGTGGGTTAGAGAAGGATGGCTTGGCCAGCCCCTCGCAGGATCCTGCAACCTTAGCAGATCTCTCCCCACCGGCACTGGCACCCTCTTTCTGATCACAGACCCCCCATCGTCACTGTACCTTCCTCCTCCCAGGCC